AAAATTGAGACTTTGAAAATGTTCCCATGGATAGTCCCAAAAAGTAGCATAAAGACTATGCAAGGCATATCTGCTGCTTAAACAAATTAAAGAGGTTAACATTATAAAAGTGTTTTATTTTACCTGCCTGATTACTATTTATATTTAGGTAAATTTCTCTTACCTTGAGCCCATTTAATCATATGTAATTTTTAAACAAGATTTTAATGGACCTCAGGTGCACAGAATTAGAAAAATCATTTTTCTAATTAGGAAATAAATATAATTTAATTGCACCAGAAATATTTTTCAAATATATATTCACACATATATATGGTGTGTGCATGTAGTATATATATTTATATATATATACATGCACACCTAATTTATATTTGTGTATATATACATACACATGCGTGCATACACACATATGAGTGGCTTATATACTTGCCTTATACATACAGCATGTGTAATTTTCTGCTGTTGATTTATAGGTTCTGATTAGAGGCAATAAGGTAAAGGATACATGAACTGAACTATGAATTAAAAATTATGCATTTTAATTCACATCATTTCTATGTGATTACCTGACTCTCAATTTCTCCAAAATTCATTAGTGCTCTGGAATCCTAAATGTAATTTTTCAATTATCTAAAACACTTTTCAAAACAAAAAATTTATTTTTGTGGTTTTTATAGGTTTTTTTCAAAGCCAATTTATTAATGTATAATTTACATATAATTTAAGTGTATAATTCCATGATTTTTATAAATATGTATGTACCTATGTAAACACCACCACAATCAAGATAGAGAACATTTTCAACACTCTTAAAAGTGCTCCTGTGCCCCTTTGCAGACAATACCATTCCCCACAGTCAGGCCCAGAAAACAGCCAATCTGCTTTTCTGCCACTGTAGCTTATAATGGTCTTTTCTAAAATTTAATTAAAATGGAATCACATAGTATGTACTTTTTTCCATAGCTTTCTCAGCATGTTTTTGAGATTCATTCTTGTTATTGGAGATCCCAGTAGTTTGTTCTTTTTCGTTGTTTGAATATATTAAGTTACATTTGTTTACCTCAAGAACACAGATATTTTCTCCTATTTTTAAGAAGTGTTCTTTTAATTTAATTATTTAGTAAAATTGTATTATAGTTTTAGTTACAGTTTGTAAATTTTATTCACAAGAAGTCCCTGCTGGTTACTGACTTAAGATAAAATTTGGATCCACAGACCTAATCTTTTAAAGATATTACTCATTATTTGATCACAGAACTGTTGTAATATAAGTACAGAGCTTTGTGCAATAAAAGGAGTGAGCAATGTTACAAATATATAGGAATGTTGGAGCGGATGCTGTAGTCCATTGGCAACATCCCCCTTAGATGAGAGTCTCTATTACCCTTGCTGCTAAGAGAGTTGCTTGCTGAAAAATCAGAGCTGAGCAAGTCTTTATAAATTGCCCTCAGAGGAAGGGAACTGTGAACTTTCACAATGCACCACTATCTGTACATTGAAGTCAGAAAAGCCAGTTTATATAATCATTATGCAGCAATTGAGAACTGAACTCGAGAAGAAGGCTAAAATCAATTGCAACCCAGTTATGTCCAAATTTGGCACAACTGAGTTGTGATTTTGGAGAGCTTTTAATACGATTTCAAATATTTTCAAACTCTGTATGCAATATGCAAGTAATCTGGAAAGTTTAAGATTTAATAGAATTTCTACCTCCTCATGATGAGAAATTGTTCCAGTCAACTGAAAAAAAGACAATTGAGTCTGTCTCCATTTATCCCTGCCCTTTTAATTTTGATTTGTCCTTGTTTTTCCATACTCTCACATTATATTAGGTTATTGGACTTAGCAGTATTTTAGGCATTTGTCTGCCTTCCCTTTCGCTGTGTTTTATCTTTTTCACTGCGTTGTGATGCTTCCTCCTATAGTCAGTTCTCCTATAGTCAGTTCTGCTGACTTTCTCCTATAGTCAGTTCTGCTCTGTGTGACATTTGCATTCCTGAAAATCATGAGAATGCAAAATTTTACAATAAAAAACACAGGGCTTACGGGGTAAATGGGGTTTGTGACATAACAGTAAAAATTTTATTGATATCACATTAAAATAAAGATAGAAAGCTAATAAAAATGGTAGCATAGTTTTGCACATGTTAAAAGGTTAACAATTGTGTAAATGCAATGATCAATGAGGCTCTTTACCCTGAATATAACCTAAAGTTTGCTTGTGGATATGGGTGTTAGAAGGGTTAGAAGCTTTCATTTATTGTAAAGTTGTGGAAGAAGAGGTATCTGAAATTAGACAGAAAATTCTAACACAGGTAGGTGTAAGGGAAATTTTGTGACACACATGCAGAACTGAGGTCAGTATTAGATATTTGAGTAATGTGCATGTGTATATATCATGTATTCCTATATGGCCCGGTTCAGCTAGATATGGTTTTCTATGTTTAGCCAGTGTTTCTCAGGAACAAAATTGCACATAAGAAAACAAAAAAATTACTTTATGTTCAAAATTGTTTTCTAATATATCTATCATCTTGGAACAAGCTCATGTTGTTAAATAGGCATTATGGCAGAACTGACTGTACTTTCTTTGCTTTTTCCATACTTTTTTCTTTCTACTTGGATGCGCTCTTTTTCTCTTAGTAGTTATTTCTCCCAAATTACTGTACTGTTCTCATCACAAAGCTTCTCCAACACAGCTAGGTTGTGGAACATAGCTTCTTTTATACATTTTTAATTGACAAATAATAATTACACATATTTATGGGGTACAATGTGATGTTTTGATATATGCATACATTGTGGAGTTATTAAATCAAGCTAATTAATGTATCCATAACCTAACCTCATTATCATTTTTGTGATGGGAACATTTAAAATCTACTCTTTTAGTGATTTTGAAACATATAATACATTATTACTGGAGTCACAATGCTATGCAATAGATCACTAAGATTTATTTTTCCTGTCCAATTGAAACTTTTTATTTTTTATTTATTTTTTTTTTTTTTGAGACAGAGTCTCGCTTTGTTGTCCAGGCTAGAGTGAGTGCCGTGGCGTCAGCCTAGCTCACAGCAACCTCAAACTCCTGGGCTCCAGTGATCCTCCTGCCTCAGCCTCCCGAGTAGCTGGGACTACAGGCATGCGCCACCATGCCCAGCTAATTTTTTATATATATATCAGTTGGCCAATTAATTTCTTTCTATTTATAGTAGAGACGGGGTCTCGCTCTTGCTCAGGCTGGTTTTGAACTCCTGACCTTGAGCAATCCGCCCGCCTCGGCCTCCCAAGAGCTAGGATTACAGGCGTGAGCCACAGCGCCCGGCCTGAAACTTTTTATTTTTTGATCAACAACTCCCCTTTCCTCATTATCATCACCTCATTCTACCCTCCAATTCTATGAGTTTGACTTTTTTAGATTCCACATAGAAGCGAGATCATGTAGTACTTGTCTATCTGTGCCTTGCTTATTCCACTTCACATAATGTCCTCCAGATTTATCCATGTCGTTGCAAATTACAGTATTCCTTTTGCTTTTAAGTCCAAATAATATTCCATTGTGTATATATATCACATTTTCTTTATCCATTCATCCATTGATGGACATTTAGGTTGATTCCATATCTTAGCTAATGTGAATAATGCTGCATTGAAAATGAGAATGTAGATATCTCTTCAACATACTGGTTTCAATTCCTTTGGTTTTATATCCAGTATTGAAATTGCTGGATCATATGTTGCTCCTATTTTAAATTTTTTGAGGAACTTCCATACTGTTTTCCATCATGAATGTACTAATTTACCTTCCCACCAACAATATACAAGGCTTCCCTTTTTTCCCCACATTCTTAGCAATACTTGTTCTCTTTCAACTTTTAATAATAACTATTCTAACAGGTATGAGGTGATATCTCATTATGGTTTTAATTTGTATTTCCTTGATGATTGTGATATTGAGCTTTTTTTTTTTCATGTGTCTGCTAGACATTTGTCTGTTTTCTTTTGAGAAGTGTCTGCTCAGATCATTTGCCCATTTCTAATCTAGTTATTTGTTTTCTTTCTATTAAGTTGTTTGAGTTCCTTGTATATTTTGGATTTTAGCTACTAAAAACTCCTGGTTTCTAGGCATTTCTTTCATAAAGTGGAAAAATAAATCTCAAAATATTTAACTCCTTTCAACTTACTTCTTGTGGGTTGTGTGCACATGTGATTTTTTTTTTTTTTTTTTTTGAGACAGAGTCTCGCTCTGTTGCCCAGACTAGTGCCGTGGCATCAGCCTAGCTCACAGCAACCTCAAACTTCTGAACTCATGAGATCCTCCTGCTTCAGCCTCCTGAGTAGCTGGGACTACAAGCATGTGCCACCAAGCCTAGCTAATTTTTTATATTTTTGGTAGAGATGGGGTCTCACTCTTGCTCAGGCTGGTCTCAAACTCCTTAGCTCAAACAATCTGCCTGCCTTGGCCTCCCCAAGTGCTAGGATTACAGGCACGAGCCACTGCGCCTGGCCCTACATGTTATTTTTATGTTGACAGCAATATAGAAATCAATATTTTTCTATGCTACACCTTTGTTCCAGCTAGATCAGATTATAGCGGGAATAATCTTTAATCAAAAATATTGTGTAAATTCTTTTTCAAAGTATTATTGAAAATAGAGCTTGCAAATTCAAAAAGTATCTTGAATAAAAAATTTAAAATATTACAGTTTGTATTTCCTTACCTATTAATTAAAAATAAAATACTATGATAAACCAATATACTATTGTATATTAATAATAAATGCATCTGTTAACCTGTTTGAATATTACTGATCTACCTTCATATTTTAATGACAATTTAGAGTCTTCCTAGTAACTTAGTTTTCCTGCCAAACTACTTCTTTTCAGAAGTTCTTATTTCTCTGTGTGAAAGCTATATCAGTTTCATTTCTTTAAGTTCATGAATTTTAAATTAAAGATGAAGAGAATTCTAAGTGCCTTTTCTTTTTCTATTCCTGCAGCGTTTGTCCAATGGTTCCATAGACTCAACTGATGAAACTAGTCAAATAGTTGAACTACAAGAATTGCTTGAAAAGCAAAATTATGAAATGGCCCAAATGAAAGAACGTTTAGCAGCCCTTTCTTCCCGAGTGGGAGAGGTGGAACAGGAAGCAGAGACAGCAAGAAAGGACCTCATTAAAACAGAAGAAATGAACACCAAATATCAAAGGGACATTAGGGAGGTAAGTGATTCATACCACTTTTAGTCTCTGATTACTGAATGCTGCTTTTAAGATGCTCATTCCATAATTTCCCCTAATGGTATATACTTTTTACTTCTTCCCAAAAGATCATAGTTTGAGATGCATTATATTGGTTATGAAACTTGTTCAGTAAGGCAAAATGGTTTACTTCATGAACTCTTTAAAAGTGTATGAAAAGAAATTTGTGGCATCAAGTCTCAGATATAACAAAGACATTCTGATGCTTTTAATAATTTTTTAAAAATTTAAGTATTTAATTTAAAATAACCCTGGATATAGGTATGAATCATGAATTGCTATACTGTTAGCATATGAGAATGCTCAGAAACTTATTTTAAATTGTCCCATCTCTTATTTTGGTTTTTTATCAATGAATGTAAATATACACATGTGAATATACCTACACACACATATATAACATAACCTTTTTTTCTACATATTTAATTCTTGTTGGACTTAACATTGTTTCATCTATGTAAGAGACAGTACTTTAAAGTTACTAAAAGAGATACAAGGGGATATTTATTTGTAACATTGCCAAATCATCTTACTTGCTAAGGTGAAAGTTTAGAATCTTCTTACTTTCTCACTCCTAATTAAAAGGAAAATTATTTATATTTATAAAATTTTATTTTATGACTTTTTGAGTTTTCCATTTTTACATAATTCTTTTAAATCATGTATTTTTGTCTTTGTATATCTTTTTATTTTCTTCGCATTCTCCCTTGAGCCCATTTTATCATATTTTTCCCCCACTGTCCCATCAAAACTGTTCTCATTAAAGTCATTATTGACCTCCATGTTACTGAATCCAGGGGCCAGTTCTCAGTCCTTGGAAGCACTTGATCCACTTACCACTCTTCCCTTCCTGGAACATTTCTTCACTGGGTTAACAGCACTCTACTCTTCCAGGATGTTCTTCCATATTTACTTGTTGACTTCATCCCAGGCTCCTTTACTAGGTCTACTCTCCCTCCCCAACCTTGGCATGTGTTCTCTTCTCAAGTTACCATTATCTCCATAATGAGGCCATGCAGTATTATGGCTTCAAAAGCCACTTATGGCCTTATGACTCCCAACTTATATCTCTAGCTTGCCTTTCTTTTCTGATTTCCAGGTGCCTACATCTAAATTGCTAAGGGGTATCTCAAAATTAGCAGTTTCAAAACACATTTTTTAATGTTTCCTCAACAAGCCAGTATCTCCTGCAGCCTTCCATAACCATTATTATTGGAGCTCAGGCCGTTGGTATCTCTCTTTCACTCACACACTACATTTGATTCAGCAGTAAATCCTGTTATCGTCCAACAAATATGTCCATAATGGGACCTCTTCTCACAATCTTCATGGCTTTTCCTTGATCTATACAACTACTATCTCTCACTGGACTATTATAATAGCGTCCTAACTGGTCTTTCTGCTTTTGCCTTCAGCTCGCCTTAGTTTATACTCAATACAGCAGCCTGAGTAGCCTGCCTGAGTCAGCTCATGTCACTTTTCTGCTTAAAATTTTTAGTGGATACCTATTCTACTTACAGTAATATCAAAGTCCTTGCAGTGGTCTATAAGCCACAGATAATCTCTACTACCATCCTCCTCATTTTTTGGAGATGATCTCCTACTCTCCCATCCTAGCCCACTCTATTCAGTTGCCATTTAAGTAACGTGGGCTTATTTTGTTGCATTTTCTTTTCCCTCTGCCTTTTCCTCACATACACTCTCCTTCTTCTTTCATTTATTTATCCCATAGCACTTAGTGTCATCTGACACAACATATATTTTACTGATTTACTTGTTTCTATTTTTATTTTTTTTTCTTGCCATCAAATTGGTACTGATTTACTTGTTTATTATATGCTTCCATCCCTAATTGTACACAAAGATTCATAAGGACTGGGATTTTTTATTTTGTTTTGTTTTGTTCACTGTTCTCTTCTAATCACCTACACAGCTATTAAGTGTATAATAGGCACTCGAAAAAAATCTTTTTTGAAAGAATGGATATTTGTGTTTACAATAAGCACATATCAGAAGGCATTAATGTTATCAGAAAATGTCCTAAAACAAGGTCTACTATCTCAAAAAAAATAATAATAGATGATCCATGAAATGGTGGACTATTCCACTTCAGCACAGATAATGAAACAATGGTGTATGAATTAATAGTTCATGGATACATCTCTTCACTCGTCCTCACAACCCAAACTCAGAGAATTTATAAAGCAAATGACGTTTAACCCCTCTTCTATATCACTATTAAGGAATCACTAGGATTTCTGGCTATCAAATCACTAGGTCCACTTCTTGATCTTTTGTTCATTCTGAATTTCATCATTCTTTTAGTTCAGGAGAGTCAGCTGTTAATTTTAGCACTCACCTACTCTATCCATGCTTATCTAAACCATTGTTAAAGACAGAGACCAGTATCTCCAGCTCCCCCTTCCTTGTTTCCCATTTAAAAATAACTCCTTGATACTAACAGTGTCTGGATGTAGGTGACAAAAAGCTCAGTCAGATGGAAAATGCCAGTCCTCTGATGCCAGTGCTCTTTATTAGGAATCCATTCTAATGGGTAAGGCATTCTCCTTTCACAAAGAAGTCTTTCAAAATACAGCTTTTCTTATCAGCTCCATAATTTCTATGTAATTATATTTTAGAAGAGTTTCATGAGAAAGGAATATGCCTTATCATCCACCTTTGAAGGGAAGTTGCAAACACAAATGTTTTCAGAGCCAGGCAGGCAATATAAATGTGTGAAGTGCCAGGTGCAAGACAGTAGGAAGTGACAGAGATGATAAGACCTGTGAAAGGAGCCTATACTCAGACTGCCTTTCTGGATGCATCACGTTTTTTATATATATACACACACACACATGCACACACAACACTGGGAGGTGTGAATAAAATATTACTGAAAGACTCAGATCTCAAGCTACAGGCCCCTGGTTTGCTAAGGATTTTTAAAGGAACAATAACATGTGAAAACTATTATAGGTGCATTATATTTAATTTCTCTAATTCCTGCCCTAGAGAGAAAGTACTTATTATTATTATCCCCATTTTTCTCAAATGAGAACCCCAAGGCTTAGTGAGGTGAAGTGACTTGCCCAAAGACTATTATACACTGTCCTGTCCCCAAGCACCAACAAGAAACAAGATTGGTCTTCCATAAAACCTATGCTTCTTACAGTATGAACTGCTTCCCAAATCAGCACAATATAATGGTGACTATCATAAAAATTCAGCTTCAATATAACTGCCCCTTAAATAATCAATCTTTTGGTTATTCTTTCCAATAAGCAAGAAGATGTGAAAAATCATCTTATAAAAGAAGAACTTATAAAAGATATTACTTACTCATACTCAAAGCCCCATATTCTGCTTTTATTTTCCTGAATAATATGTTACTGGGTTGTGGTCACACAAATTCTACTTTAAAGTTTCCAAGTAGAAAAAAAAGTCAATTTTTCTTGGTACTCCTTTAGCATTGCTAGCTCAGTATGATTTATATATTGGGCAGGTGATAAGTGTTGAATTAATTAAGGAAAAAAATAGGGAATAGGAAAAAACAAGTCTATAATTAAAGAAACAAAATGTATTTTTCTTTGTATTTGAGGATAATCTAATAGATCTAACAAGATTTTTATAATTATATTCCATTAGTGGTTTCAGAATATATTATTATAATTTTTCTTTGTCAAAAAAGAAATCTATCCAAAATTTACTTTCATTTGAAGTTTCATCTTGAAAAAAATTTTCTTAAATTGATTTTGACCTGTTAGAGTAGGTAAGCTGGACTAAAGCTAGACAAAATAAACAAAAATAAGCAATCTAATAAAAGTAGCTTAGCATTCTACTTATTTTTATTATATATATATATATATATATATATTTTAGCATATGGGTGGGTACAAATATTTAGGTTACATATATTGCCTTTGCCCCACCTGAGTTAGAGCTTTAATGTCTAACCCCTATACGGTGCACGCCACACCCATTAGTTGTGAATATTCCCATCCCCTCCGCCCCCCTCCCACCTGCCTGAGACCTGATAAATGTTACTACCATATGTGCACATAAATGTTAATCAGTTAATACTAATTTGATGGTGAGTAAATGTGGTGGTTTTTTTCCCACTCTTATGATACTTCCCTTAGTAGAATAGGTGCCAGCTCTCTACTTTTTTTTTTAGCATATTATGGGGGTACAAGTGTTAAAGTTATGTATATTGCCCATGCCCCACTCCCCCCTCGAGTAAGAGCTTCAAGCATGTCTATCCACCAAATGTTGCATATCTTACTGGTTGTGTTTGTACATACCCATCCCATCCTCTCCCCTCCCACCTGCCTGACACCTGATAAATGTTATTCCTATATGTCCACTTAGGTGTTGATCTGTTAATACCAATTTTCTGGTGAGTACATGTGGTGCTTGTTTTTCCATTCTTGAGATATTTCACTTAGTAGAATGGGTTCCAGCTCTATCCAGGAATATACAAGAGGTGCCATATCACTATTGTTTCTTAAAGCTGAGTAGTACTCCATGGTATAAAACCCGCTTATCTTTCCAACTTCCTATTAAAAGATCTTCAAAATTTCAGTGTGTGATTAAATGAATTAATACTATCAATTTTGTCTCTTCTATTATTTGAAACATGTAGTTATATTTTTTACTCCCTTAGATGTCAGCTACTATAGAGTTATGTGTATTAGATATAATAAAATTCAATTTATGCATAAACTTTAGGTCAACAGATCATTAAATCTTTATTTTTTCCCTCATATTTTTAGTTTGCAGTTTTTAGGGACTTGAAAAAGCTTCCTTTTTTAGAATTAAATAACACAGAGGGAAAAGCTATTTCTCTGACTTGTAAATTCAAAATTTATTTCTGGCAACACAGCCTGCAGTTAAAAATTGAATCTCCCACATAAATCCCTAAATCAAAAATGCATAAAAATTGTGTATGATGATTCCTGCATGTAATGTATGCCATAGAATTAGATGAGCTAAATGTGGACATAATAGTAATTAATAATTTTAGAAAAACAGCTATTATTTATTGAGGATATGTTCTACATGAGGCACCATACAAAGCACTTATGTTACCTAATTCTTAACAACATTATATGGCAGGTATTATTAATAGTATCCTAACCAAACAAAATATATGAAGAAGGTGAAGCATAGTAAAGGTAAACAACATTTATCTGTGACAACAGTTAATAATTGTCATAAACTAGGATTTGGAGAAAGTATGTACTATGCTAATGCTCGTGTTTTTGAAGAGTTTCATGGTAGATATGTTACTTTTTAATTAATTTTAGTTTTTATATATACATAATTTTTCAAAGTCAAATAATGTCAAGAAAGTACATATGTAAACACAAAAACACACACATCCCTTGCCTAATTCTCACCTCGTGTTTTCACCCCATTTCCCTGAGATTGTTAATTTCAACCCTTTTATCCATTAGTTTTGATATTGTTTCTCTTATTGTTTCTCTTATTTAAACCTAATCTCTGTCTTGCTAGTATATTAGATGAAGACTACCTATTTTATTCCTTCCCTTACTTTCTCTTCCTCTCATCCTTCTATTATAGTTATCTCAAAATCACATTCAGTGTTACCATTTTAATGGTTTCTGTTTTTCCAGGATCTTATTAATTACCTGAGATTTTAACTTGCTTATTTATTTTTTAAGTTATTGTAAATCTACTCATATTCTCTAAGAGTTTGTTAAAATTTCTTTCAAGTCAATTATAGTCAAAGGTCAGGCAAAAAGATAACTTACCATTCTCATTTTTATGTTCTTAGAATCCCCCTTTTTTTCTTTTGCCTTCCCTCCTGTGATCTGTACCAGTTTCTTTGTAGGCCAATTTCACTTTTTCAGTTGTTCTTATGGAATTTACCCCTATCATCACCTTGAAAATCCAGGAGAAAAAAAGTGATTGATGTCCCTAAAGAAGAAAAAGCATAGAACCCTGAGGAAAGATAATGACTAACCTCTGGGAGAAGGTAGAACATTTGTTATAAATTGAAAGCTAGAAGTTATGGATTTGTGTGCATGTGGTTAAAATTCCAGGTGGTGGTGAGAGAAGGACTATCCATTGAAAGGCTTCTATTTATTTTGGAAGATTGGAAGAAAGGTTATCTGCATTGTAACTAAAGAAGGACTGGCTCCAGACCCAGGAGGAGAATGATGAAAGGATTGAGTAGAAGTAAATGATCAAATGAATCTGGATATTAATATATGGAAGCTACCATGATTTCCTCGATTCTAGGCTCCTTATATAAAGACACTACCCACATTCTCAGGAGACCATTCCAGACCCATGAGGCTTACTTCTACAGCTAATTTCCTCCCATCTTGTCAGTAAAGTAGGTTATCAATCTAGCAATAAATTTTCATGCAAGCTGTTAGTAAGGTAAAATCATCTCCATATTATTATCTATAAATTAGAGTGTTTACAATATCAATGCCTTTGGGGACTTGTTCATAAATTCTTTCCCTCGGCCAATGTCCATAAGAGTTTTCCAACATTTTCTTCTAGAATTCTTATAGTTTCATGCCTTGGGCTTAATTCTTTTATCCACCATGAGTTAATTTTTTTGAGAGGTGAGAGGTGCAGATCATGTTTCAGTCTTCTACACGTGGCTACCTAATTTTCCCAGCACCATTTACTGAATAAGGATTCTTTTCTCCAGTGTATGTTTTTGTCTGCTTTGCCAAAGATGAGATGGCTATATGAGGATGGTTTTATATCTGGGTTCTCAGTTCTGTTCCATTAGTCTATGTGTCTGTTCTTATGCCAGTAATATGCTGTTTTAGTTACTATAACCTTGTAGTATAGTTTGAAGTCTGGTAAATTGATGCCTCCAAATTTGTTCTTTTTGCTTAAGAATGCTTTTGCTATATGGCATCTTTTCTGGTTTCATACGAAGCATAGATTATTTTTTCTAAATCTGTAAAAAAGGATGTTAGTATTTTAATAGGGATTGTATTGAATCTGTAGATCATTTTGGGTAGTATAGACAGTTTAACAATGTTGATTCTACTGAGCCATGAGCATGATATAGTTTTCCAACCCCAAAGGCAATCACAGCAATCATAAAAATAAATAAATGGGACCTGATCAAATTTAAAAACTTCTGCATGGCCAAAGAAACTATCAACAGAGAGCAAAAAGACAACCTACAGAGTGGGAGAAAATATTTGCATGCTACATATCTGATAAAGGGCTGATAACTAGAATTTATACAAAGCTCAGAAAAATCAGCAAGAAAAAACATCAAACAAAAGTGGGCAAAGGACATGAACAGAAACTTTTTAAAAGAAGACAGAATAATGGCCAATAAACATGAAAAATGCTCAACATCTCTAATCATTAGGGAAATGCAAATCAAAACCACAACGAGATATCACTTAACTACAGTGAGAATGGCTTTTATCAAAAAGTCCCAAAACAATAAATGTTGGCATGGATGCAGAGAGATAAGAACACTCATACACTCCTGGTGGGACGGCAAACTACTACAACCTCTGTTGAAAGTAATATGGAGATAACTCAAAGAACTAAAAATAAAACTACCATTTGATCCAGCAACCCCATTACTGGGCACCTAACCAAAAGAACAAAAGACATTCTATGAAAAAGACATCTACATTCAAATGTTTACAGCAGCACAATTCACAATTGCAAAGATGTGAAAACAACCCAAGTGCTCATCAATACATGAGCGGATTAAGAAAATGTGATATATGTATATCATAAAGTTCTACTCAGTTACAAAAAACAATGGTGATCTAGTACCTCTTGTATTATCCTGGATAGAGCTGGAGCCCATTCTACTAAGTGAAGTATCACAAGAATGGAAAAACAAGCACCACATGCACTAACCGTCAAGTTGGTATTAACTGATGGACGCTTCTGTGTGCATATGGGAGTAGCATTCATCAGGTGTCAGGCCGGTGGTGGGGGGAAGAGGGGATGGGTATATTCACACCTAATGGGTGTGGTGCACACCCTCTGGGGGATGGACATTCTTGAAGCTCTGACTCAGGTGGGGTAAAGGCAATATATGTAACCTAAACATTTGTACCCCTGTTATATGCTGAAATAAAAAGAAAAAAATAAAATAAAATACCAATTCCATGATTCTCTTCATTTGCACTAATAGGTATTTCTTTCCTATAGTTATGTATTCATTGACTTCTCTAAAATCATATTTAATCAAAAGTATACAGCAGAGGAAATGGTTAAGTTCTTAAGTCAATTAGTAAATTCATTATTAATATGATTCAAATATATCATTTTTTAGCCTACTCTTTTAACTGCTGAGTCACTCTTTCTTATGTGGGAAAGTGAGAATAAGGATGGTATTTGTTGCCTATTATTTGAAAATTGATTTGCACTTTAGAACTGTAGCCACCATTTTAACAATAACGATTTGCAACTCTACCTGCAATTGTACTTGTTTTTACTGCTCGTTAAGCGCTTCTTTTCTAAAGATGCCAATTCTACAGTAGAGAGTTTCAAAATATACTCCATTGCATTTTCAGGGAGCAGAATGTTTTTGGTAAACCCATGATGCAAGAAGAGTTTAGACTGATAAATCAGGAAAACTTATATGAAATCTTGCATTCCTTCCATGAAAAGAAAGGAATAGTTTTTATATCTTCCTATTTTACTTAAATAGCAAGACAATACATTAAATTATCTAAGAATCTAATTTGACTTTTTATTTTAATTGTAGGCCATGGCACAGAAGGAAGATATGGAAGAAAGAATCACGACCCTTGAGAAACGTTACCTCAGTGCTCAGAGAGAATCTACCTCCATACATGACATGAATGATAAACTAGAAAATGAGCTGGCAAATAAAGAGGCCATCTTACGGCAGGTTTAGTATCACTGTCTTGCTTTTGTTCTGGTCCGTATATGCGTTCTCACCATTCTCATAAAACATGGGTAAATAAAATAGAGTGTTTCTTGGCGAATGAGTGATTAATCATTCTCTAAAGTTTAGAATTCTCTAAACAAATATGCTTTTCAGTATGAAATTTACTTTCTAGAAAATTAATGAAATTAATTATCTCAATAGTAATAAAAATGGCTATTTACTTTTGATCTAGACATAAATCAGAAATTGTACTAAACAGTTTACATGTATTACCTCACTTAGTTCTAACCACCGCCTAGGAAGTAGGTACAGTAATTATACTGAGAACACTAAGGTTAAGACACATTAACACTTTCCCCAGGTCACACATCTGGTGAATGACAGAGCCAATAATGTAAAGCTAAGTTTATGGGGCTCTATAGCACGAGTGGAAAAACTATGGACCATGGTTGGCTACCTGCTCTTGTAAATAAATTCTCATTGGAGCATAGCCATGTCCAGTCACTTCGCCATTGTCTATGGCTGCTTTTGAGCTACCACAACAGAGTTGAATAATTTGGACAGAGGCCGTATGATACACAAGGCCTAAAATATTTACTGTCCGTCCCTTACAGAAAAAGTTTTCCAAACTTATCTCTAGAGACTGGACTCTTAATCATCATGCTACATTCCTTCTCCTACTCCTGTATAATTCTATGATTTTCAATATTTTGCTGTTATGGTACATCTGAAGTCTTAGTACTGAGCTATATTCCATTTATTCAAGTTTATACTCATGAGTAATTTCTTTTCTGCTTTGCTGCCAATGGTAAGAGCTTTTCTAATTTTTAATGTGTTGAATTTTACTAAGGAAAATGGATGAGTAATATATGAAACATGACGACAATCATTACTTTGCACATTTAGGTGTGGCAGTGGCTGCTTTTAAATCTAGATTAATGGCTGAGTGCAAAGCCCCAATTGATTGGTGTTTACTATCCTAAATCTGACCCTTTAAGCGTCTCTGCTATCATTCCTATTTCAGATGGAAGAGAAAAACAGACAGTTACAAGAACGTCTTGAGCTAGCTGAGCAAAAGTTGCAGCAGACTATGAGAAAAGCTGAAACCCTACCTGAAGTGGAGGCTGAACTGGCTCAGAGAATTGCTGCCCTAACAAAGGTACTGCACTAAAACAACTAGTCTACCTAAATATACTTGTAGAAACAGTGGCAATCAAAATGGAATTTATAAAGATTTTTTTAGGCTTTGTGAAAATTAAGTTTATTTAATATTTACTATTTAGTCTGTTAATGAATTTTTCTTATTACATACATTTATGCTAACATGAATAATTGATATACAAATGTGATGATCACTTCACCTATTTAAACATTAACGAAACAACCAAAATTTCATGTCATTGTTATAGTTAGTTTTTTATGGTAATAGTTGCACATAATAATCATGGAGATAAACACACAATGATAATGTTATATGTATATAGAGAACATAACAATTTAACAGGTTTCAAACCAATTGTTTGTTATGAGAAGTGTAGGAGATGTCCTACCTTGTTGATTCCATTCTTAGTATGATAAAACTTGTTAGAGGTTTGAAGTTAGAATTACAAAAGTCTGAAATTTAAAGTCATTAGTCAGAAAGGGGTTTTTATAGTTGTAATTTCTTCTGAAAAATTAAAATCAATAATACTCTGAAGAATGTTCAAAATTTTCTGCTGCAATATGATCTTTAGCTTCCACAACTATCTGCATATTTTAGAATATTGCAACCATTATAATGTTAAAAAGGATGGTTCTGACTTCTTATAGTCAAATGGAAATTAGATTGATTTAAAGTGTATATACATGTCAGTAGTATATATTAAAGTCCATTTTGTTACTGAAAGCATTATTGACATTTGATATCAGTTCAAAAATAATCACACATTTTAGATATTACACAATCATTGCTATTTGCTAAGTTTTCTAGGCCACTACAATAGATGAGTATGATAGATATATGGACTTCAAGTTAAAAATTTTAGCATAAAGGATTAGTCCAATCAATTGATGCAGCAATAGAGAAGTCTGCACATACACATCTGCTTTCCTGAAAAAATAAGTAATTAAACATGAACAATAGACTTATCTGCTTATTGGTTAAAATAGGGGAGTTAATCAAGTAATGAAAAGACAAACATTGGACAAAGTAGAACAGGATTAGAAAGCATTGGAATAGTTGGTTGTCTATTAAACAGTGTTGGAGTAACTAGTTAAATAAAATTTTAGTCTGAGCAGGGTAAGATTACAATGTGGGGCCAGGCTCAGTGGCTCATACCTATAATCCCAGCACTTTTGAAGGCCAAGGAAATAAGATCACTTGAGGCATGGAATTTGAGACCAACCTGGGCAACATAGCAAGACCTTCATTTCTACAATTTTTTTAAAAAAAAATTAGCTATGGGTGGGGGCACACACCTGTAGTTCCCGCCACTCGGGAGGCTGAGGTGGGAGGATCACATGAGCCTAGGAGTTTGAGGTTATAATGAGCTATGATTGCACTCCAGCCTGGACAACAGAGTCCATCTCTAACAAATAAAATAAAATAGAAAAGTAAAACATTATAATTTAGATCCTTCTATAGTCACAGACCATGCTAGTAAATCTCTCTGGTAATTTCAGAAATGTTGGTTTCCAATATAAAGGTAAATATGTCATTTAATTTGAAAAATATTCCCTAAATTATATAAAAGTATGTAAACATATTAGTATTATTCATTTTATTTTGCAAACAGATTTTAAATGATTATAACATAAACTAAGATATCCATGTTTAGGCTTTTCTTCTGAGGAATATAAAGAACTTTTATAAGCATATATCTTATTGCATTGCATTATTTTTAGGGAAATTAGATGAGTGACTAAACAAGAAAAATAACTTTAGTAAAATTTTAGCATAAAATAATCATCAGTATTATCCTGACTAAAATACCAGAAAGAAACACAATTTAAAGTTCAGTGAATCATTGCCCCAGATTAATCTTTGGTAAAATGAGAATAAGTTGATATAAAATATAATATTTGACTTATAAGGCTTTAATTTAATACTCTTAAGAATTTTTCACTTAGAATATAAAAAATAACTAGAAATAGGTGTCTTATCTTTTTTGTTCTTCTATTTATTGTCTTGAACTTTATTTATTTATTTTTTTGGCTATATTATCTTTGGCATACAAAATAATTTCCATAGTGGACTCCTACCTAATATCTTGCCAAACTTCCACTGTTTCTGGACCTTTTTGATTTCCTCATTTTCAGAAAATTTTTATTCTTCTTAAATAATAAATGAGAAGAATAATGATGTGGTTTTAGTGTTGGGTGTGTTTTCAATAGGTAAAAGAGAAAAAGCTAGAACTTTTAAAGACCTTTAAAAACTTGTATTTTCAGGCCAGGTACAGTGGCTCATGCATTTAATCCTTTAGTCCCAGCTACTAGGGAGGCTGAGACAGGAGGATTGCTTGAGCCCAGGAGATTGAGGTTGCCATGAGCTAGGCTGACACCATAGCTCTCTAGCCTGGGCAACAGGGTTAGACTCTGTTTCAATAATAATAATAATAACAATAAATGAATAAATACTTGTATTTTTGAAAAATTCATATATTGACTAGAATCAGTCACTTAAGTCTTCAAATGCTATAATTTACTCTTTCTTTTTACCATTTTCTCTCCTCACTGGTTCTATATCAACAATATATATTAGATATACATAACATTTGAGGATCGCTTTCTCACTTGTTCTCCCAAGTTTTTTGTTTTCAACAATTTTGAACTTTTTGTCTTCTGTTCTTAAGACCTTCAGTGACTGTTTTTATAACCTGCTTTTTTTTTTCAATTTCAACTTGTTTTCAAGACTTTACTATTATTGGTCATCATAGTATTTTTCTACTTCTTAACATTTTTGACTATTCACTAAAATAAAAAGATTTCTGCTTAGCTTAGGCCTCCCTCCTATATTTTGAGTGCTATTTTTAACCCTTTGAATACTTTATTTGGTCTATATATACTTTTTTCTACTTTTACTATCTGCTGCTTTTATTTTTCTTCTTTTTATGCCCATCTTTTTAACTTTAATTTTTTCTCCATTTCTGAGCAACTTCATGCTCTTCTCAAAACCATTTATGCTTATAGTTTATTCTAAAATTTTAGCTCATTTGAAATTTTCCTGTATCACATCAAAGAGCAAAATCAAGATAAACTCAGTTTCTCATTTAGTAGTATAAAAACTGCAAACTGTTTCTGTGTGGTTTTTGTATTTACACCATTGCTGAAACTGTAGTCTTCATATAGATTATATAAACATAAATAAGTAGTTTGTTGAAAATTGGTCCCAATATTTATTGTTTAGAAATGATGTCTCAATTTACTCTTTGATTGACAAGGCTTTCTTTTCTTCTTCTTGTGTTTGTGTGTGGGGGGGCATGTGGGTGTAGGTGAAGCTTATTTAAAGCTTTTAGAAAGTCAGAATTATTGATTATTGATTAATGGCTATGGATAAAATTACAAATTTGCTTTGGCAAGTTTGTAATAATTAACCAATAAAGAGTATTTTGGGATCCTAATCTTATGATTTAGTATGTCTACTTCTTTAATTAAAATGCATATTCCCTCATCAAGGACATAATTCATCTTGAATTTCATGGAGTATTTTATTCACTTTTAGTACCAATAAGATGTATCGGCAATAGTAATTTAGACAGAACAGAATTCTTATCTTATTGTCACAGTTTTGGTGTATTTTGTATGTTTTTGGTGTTGGGTGTGTTTTTAATCAGTAAGACAGAAAGGGGTAGACGTTATAAAGATATTTAAAAACTTGTATTTTTGAAATATTCGTGTCTTGACTATCTTGTGTCATTAATTTTGATATCACTAACTGCCTGTGAAAATGTACTTTGAAGAATTACAGATACATTTATGAATTTATATAATTTCAACAACATTTTGACCTATTTACTGCATTCTTAATAGAAATCTAAATTGTAGATGATATTATAAAACCATTTCATGGCATTTGGGGACCATGTTCACTTTCTGTGATGTATGCTTTGGAAATTTCAGGAAGACATGGGGGAAAGAAGTTGGTTATTTGTTATTTCTTTATTATTTTACACATTCATGAAATAAGACTATCAGAGGGAAAGCCTTGCAAAATGTATAAATATTGAGTATAATTTGCATAAGCATACAAGATTTGAAATGTTAAATGTTTATTTCATAGAATAGATTGGAATTTGTTGCATAAAATAGTACATATGCTTCTGAATTGATACATGAATAGGTTACTATTTCTTTTCAGTTACTGTATGACATATTTATATATAATTCTATATTATAATAAAGTAAGTTTCACTGTTTTAGAATGAACCTATATAAAATGTGATAGAATATGCTCTGGAGTTAAAATTTGTAGTCCTGTAGGGTTGTTTTGATGTTATAATTATGTAACTTGCCATTATAATTTAAATGTTGATGTAACTTTATATGTAATCCTTGCATAACATACTAATACAAGTCAGCTATCAGCAATGTCACATGTGTTGAACACTCTGCACTTGTGGTAAACTGACAGTCACCTCCAAGACATGTAACTAACCTTGGCACTGGGCAAACATAAGCTCACAAAGGCACTGTGCTGCCTATTCACTTTTGGGCACTATTTTGTTTCCACAGCAACAAATCAATGCAGAAACGGTTTTGGAGTGGTACTTAGTATCATTTAGGAGAGTTCACAGACAAGTTTTCTTGCCTTCACGGTATTATGGTCACCTTGATAATCTGAGGACTTTTAACCATTTTCATTTAAAATTTCGAATTAAACCTATATCTGAGACTAGGCCATTTGGTTCTAGACCAATGACCATAAATGGGCATTCAGAGACCAGATGTCCTTTCATAAGTTTTCCAGTGTTGCTGAGGAAACTCAATCTTGCTGAAATTGGGGAACACCCATAATAATTAACCCTGTGTCTTTGTTCGTTCTCTGATTTCTATAGAGTAGGGCTTTTAATAAATTTTGTTCCAAATTTATGATACCTGAGTCATTGCCTAGCACACTCCTCAACATTAAGATACATTGTTTCCATTATTTTAAGTAACATAAACAAACAAACCAAAATACAAACTTTTAACAATCTATCAGAGACATATTCTAGTGTTTGGTTTCCCATAATTCCAATTATCACATGACTCTTTCAGAATTGCTTTAATTCATTCTGTAGTAGTCTTTCATTGGCAACCATCACTAACCTTTCATACCTTAGGTTGATAGCTTTTTATTTTAGCATAATATTGTTTTTCATTTATAACCATCCACTGCATCATGTTCACCAGATATCGGTGTAGTTCTTTCCACATAAAATTCTGTCTATTAAAATATTAAATTTGCTGTCACATTTTTCTTTTAAGCATTCTGTGCTATGTTCTGTTCAGTGTCGGTGTCTTTAGTTCTGATTTTTCAATTTGTCCCTCTCCTTTTCCTTGACTCGTTAGTCTGATCCAACCTCTTCTACCTCATCTGATGATTATCAATATGTTATGGAAGCTAAACTACAAGAAATGATCTCCATACGTAGGAAGGTAGTCCTACTGGACTTTACTTTCTATTGCTAAATAGAATCCATCTAAGTTTTTCTTTTCATTTATAAAAATTATGTTACTTTTATTTATTGATAATCGACCATCTGTGCAGTTCAGTGCTTCAGGAGCTTAAGATTGGACAATGGCAGGTTTGTGTTCAAACCATGCACAGTCTGCATGTTACATTTGGCTGAATTCATTGCTCATAAATAACTCCAATGTTTTGCTGATGCTTGGATGTAACAGGCCTTTGTAGCTGACACATTTCAAGCAATGCTGTTCAGCTGCCTGTTTAAAGAAAGTTTATTTTTTGAAAACTATGTTTGCAGTTGGTAGTAGCTTGCTTTACATTTTATTTCAATTTATTTAGAGGAAAAGAGTTAGCCAAATCTTACATTTCAGGTGCATTCTTCATATTTCTTAACAGGCTGAAGAGAGACATGGAAATATTGAAGAACGTATGAGACATCTAGAAGGTCAACTTGAAGAGAAGAATCAGGAACTTCAAAGAGTATGTATATTAAGAATCACTTCCCCCAATCATCACTTTATGAATCTATGTTCTATGTATAAGAAGAAACTCTTCATTGATTAGGGGCTATATTTAAAATCTATAGGTATGGATTTCAAAGAAAAAAGTTTCCACCAATTTAAGCAAAACAAACATAAAATTAAATCATATTTATTAATAAAGCTAGGAAAACTGTAAAAACAATATCAGTTTTTAAATGGTTTTCCATGTCAAATTTATTTTGTTTTCTCGCATGTAAGGCTAGGCAAAGAGAGAAAATGAATGAGGAGCATAACAAGAGATTATCCGATACTGTTGATAGACTTCTGACTGAATCTAATGAACGCCTACAGCTACACTTAAAGGAAAGAATGGCTGCTCTAGAAGAGAAGGTAAAATGATACAAGGATAAAATCGCATGAATGTTTAGCAATGTTCTTACCATCATGTTTGTTTTATATACTGCTGCAGTCATTGTATTGGTCAGATGATCCATAGTTTTTAAAAATGCATTATATATTTTTAGAAGGGAATGAATAATTTCTATAAAAAGTATGCGATCCATTTTTAAATGAAAAAAAATTGTGTATGATATATAAATCTTTCATATTAGCATGTTCATATGAGGCAAACATATTAAAGTGAACTTTGCTTTTATGATGGAAATATTTTATTTATCCTTCACCTGGTATGCAAAAGAGAGGAGTGATAAGATAAAAATAAATATTTGGGGGAGGTGGGAGCTTGATTTGAACTATTCCTATGTCTCAAGTGACTGAGACATAGAAATTACTATGAGTCTAAAACTCAAAATGTGTGTCAGTTTATAACATCAGTAGAATAAGTATCAATCCCATTAGAGGAGTTAGGAACCCAGTATTTTCAGCTGCATTATTTCAGAAATGGTTCTTCTGTACCGTCTGCAATTTGATTCACAATTACATATGTCTCATTGATAGTTGAAAACTACCAGACCAGCAAGAGTTATGTGAGCTGGTTGCCAATTCGTGAGCATAATCAAAGGTAGGGGCAAAAACTCAGGTGGACATATATGAGTTTTGGAAATTTAAATTGAATGCCAATCACTACTTTAGCTAGACATTTTCTACTATTACATAAAATAAATCAAAATAAGGAAAATATTTCAATGAAATGTTAAAGTAATTATATTAATTTACCCATTAGAAAGTCATAAGGCATTCCTTCTTCCCATACAAATCCAAATGCATGGCCAATAAGAAATTACTACATTCTTTGTTTAATTTTACTTTATAAATTTTAAAATAGCATGCAATTTTATATCATGCTTTGTAATACTATAAGAAAAGTAAAAAAGTTTCAATAACAATACTTTTATGGTAAGGATTTTTTTTTAATTATCTATGATTCAACTTATTTCTATATGCCTTTGTGACACATAACTATTTTTTGAATAGCTAGAATATAATTTTTATTTTTCCAATAATGTAACCATGATTAGAAATTGTTAACTCTATATTTGAAATAGATATATAAAAATAAAATTTTTAAAAATATGATTTTATGATTTCTTCTTTCTTTATGTAATAAAAATGAATTCATCTGAATTCTATATAATGCCTATGACTAAGATTTAGCTTGTTACTCACTTTTTCTTATGTGAAGAATAACCTAATTTTTTCAAATATAAAAAGTAGTCTGAGAAGAGGCAAACAGAAATGGCTTGAAAGATGCTATTTATTTCATTTGTTCACCCAAGTGCCACAAAACAACATTTTCCATTTAAATTGTGTATTTCTTTAAATGTTAAGGTGTCATGTTTAAAGATTCAATTAAAACTTGGTTTCTACGGAAACCACAAAAGGAATCAAAGAAGATTCTTAAGTGATAGAATATCAACGTAAATATTTAAATGTTTTCTGTTTAATTTATTAATTATTTCTTTTATTTTATTTTCTGTAGAATGTTTTAATTCAAGAATCAGAAACTTTCAGAAAGAATCTTGAAGAATCTTTACATGATAAGGTATTATGGAAACTTACATTTTTGCTCATTTTTCTATTTCACACTGATAAATGTTTTGTTGTAAAATAAATTTGATAAAATAGTTTTAGTATGTTATCTTTTTAAAACAATGTTAACTTTTTTATTATACCTACAGAAAAATATACCTACAAACATATGTGTGTGTGTGTGTATATATATATATCTCAACATAAACACACTAAAAATCAGCATTCTGGAAGCTCTTCACACTGAGTTTACAGTCACTACTCTTCCTTTAAAGTGCAATCACTATCTTGACTTGTAATATTTTTAAAAAATACTTTCTCTTTCTTTGTGCTTTATATAAATGGAGTAAAAACATATGCACTAATTTTTGTCTAGTTTGAGATTATTTCAGCAGAAATACATCAAATACCTATTATATGTGAGAATTGTGCTAAGTTTTATATTTGCAAACATGAGCTTAAGTTCCAAAGTAGCTAAAAAATCTAACTGAGAAAAGAGAACACACCTTTGGCAAATCAATAGGATGCAAATAGCAGATGCCTAGTGCCAAATGAGTGATATAAACAAAAAGAGCTACAGGTAGGAAAGATCACTGCTGTGAAGAAGGCTTGAGGGAGGTGGGACTTAGACTAAAGACTTAAGGTAAAGTAGGACACTGCTGCAAGCCTATCAAACACAGTGCATGCAGTATGATCACAGGTGCTTGGTGGAGTGAGGGGGTGACTAGTGAGTGTGATATTTTAATTAACAGACACAATAGTTTGGCTGGAATCAATTATTCTTGTTGTAGTATTATGAGGTAGAAGAGGCAGCTAAGGACCAGATTGTGAAATCTTAAAGTTGTGATTGCTAATATGTGTTTTCCTTCTTCATTAGTCTGTAAAATTCTTGTTAGCAACTTTATCTTATTCAATTAAATAAGATAGCATTGCTAACTTAAGAAGTGATCTATAATTGTATGTTGACAAAAGATAGAAGGCATGGAGAGAGAGAAGGGGAGGAGAGAGAGAATGAAGGAAAGAAAGAGAGAAGGATAGGGAGGGAGGAAGGAAGGGAGGAACGATCTTGCAACAGTATGGCACATAGAAGCTACTAGAGACCAAACATAAAGGAAAGACAGAAAAATTATACATTTAACCTTACTGGATGCTATGTATTATGATGCTTTATATTATGATGTAGCATCCAGTACAATGTATAATTGTATTGTATAATTTACTCTATATAGAGAGTAATTCTCCCAAAGTCAGGGTGTCAACAATCTCTTGACAGATCTATTAGAACAATATAATATGGTGCCTAGAGATAATAGCTGATTCTTTCCAAGGTAATTCACAAAGACTACACAGAGGAAATGACATTTTAATAGGCTCATAAAGACAAATGTGATCTTAACAAATAGAGAAAGGCAGGGAGCCCTAGGTAGAGAATGAATCCTATGCAATAGCACAGAGAAAGCAAAGATGGTTGACTTGATAAATCATCAGAAGTTTGCTGTGACTGGTATGTATTTAAAGAACTAGGTTTTGAGCAGATTGTGAATTTTGGACTTGGTCTTGTTATGCAGTATTATGTTATCCAAAGCTCTGTGTGCTCCTGGCAAGCTCCCCAGAACCCACTCCCCCACCACCTACCCCAACCTTGTAGCTGTCAACAATCTGCCTAAGCAACCAAGAATTCTAATCATTTCATGCTTTGTATCCCTGTTTATGTCAGTCCCTAGAGAAAGTAAATCCCAGGTCATGCTTCATTTCTAAGCTATCATCCTTTATAGCTGAGTACATTCACTAATCTGATTAAATCTACTGTAACTCCTTAAATTTCTATTCAACTAATTATACTTACAGTCAATTATCAGCTAAATTCTCTGTATGCTAAACCTCTTCTCTCATTGTTTCTTCTTAGTGTCTTTATCTCTAAAATTTTAAGTTTCTAGAGCTATCCTTGGATGTATTCTCTCTGTTCAGTCCTGGTGACCTCATCTGATTTCATGTATCTAAACACCATCTATAAATTGAGCAATTCCATCTTTAGATTACCTACTGATCTCTCTTCCCTCCGAGTGCATATATTTTAGCACCAACTCAATATCTTCATTTGGACACCTAGGTATCTGAAATTTAACATGTTAATCTCCCCCATCCCACAGGCAAACACCAAACACCACCACCACCTAATCTAACCACTGCTAGAAGTCTTCTCAGTAAACCACAATTTCAATTACTCTGGTTGAAAAACTTGGAATTTTTCTCAACCATTGTATTTATCTCATACCCAATGTCTGGTCTAATAGCAAATCCTGTTAGTTCTACTATCAAAATCTCACTAAAATCTATCCATTCTCTCCCTAACATTATTCTTGTCCAAGTCATTACTCTTTTGCCTACAGATTTGAAAGGCCTGGAATAATTTTCTTTCTTTGCTGCCTCCTAATCTCCCAATCCCAGTTGACAGTCCATTTCACAGCCATCAGAATGATCATGTCACTTCTCTGCTCATAAGTCCTCCAGTTACTTCCTCCCTCACCAAGAGTAAAAGTCAGAGAGTTTAAAATGGTTTATAGCACTTTCCAGGAATACCTTTTCTGATTTCTGCAATCATACTTTTTAAAATCTATCCTCTACCTGTCTTTCTTACTAACCTCTCCAGTTCAGCTACACCAAATACACCTCCACTAAGAGGCATTTGCACATGCTATTTTTCTATCTGCCATGCCTTTTCCTAAGATATTCCCACTTTTATTCACTCTCTTTATTTAGTTCTTTCCTTGAATATCACTTTATTAGAGAGCCCTTTCATGACTACTCTATTTTATCCTTCCTAATAACATTCTACACTCCCATGCCCCTATTTGGTTATTGTTTGTCATTTCTACAAGATTCTAAATTACATAGGGGCAAAAAATGTGTCTGTTCACTATTGTTTCTTAGGTACCTGCCACTCAAGTGGTACCTAATGGATGTTTGTGGAAATAATGAACAAATGAATTAATAAATTCAATCAGAAACTATTTTTAAGCAAAGAATTTATCTGACCATACTGTATATTTAAATGATATATTTAGCAGAGGAATGTGGGACTGAAGCTGGTAAAAATCATTCAGGAAAAAGGTAAAAAGGGCTCAGAGTAGAATGGTGGTAATGGAAATGAAAACAGCTGATATGAGAAACATCACAAAGTCCACAGGGACAAAAAAGTGTGGTGAAAAAAAAACTATGAGTCAAGTAAAATATTAAGCCCTGGCCACTAAGAAGAGGAAAAACAGCAATAGAAAATTTATAAGGACACTTTTAGACATTTATAACAGTATAAAGTTACAATCCTTTAAAAAAAGTTAAATGCTTACATGAGCATTTATTTAAAAACTATAAATTTGTAAGGAAAAACTTATAATGCTAATCTGAGAAAATTATCAGAAGTACAACTAATTGTGCCAATATCAAGCTGATAATTAGGTTTTTAACTTTTCTAGGTTTTTAACTTTTCTTTAATTAGGTTTTTAACTTTTCTTCTTTATCTTTCAACCCTCTCAGAACAATGGAACTTCTTTACTTGCTTCATAAATAAGACATTTTCTTATTTTTAAAATAAGATATAACTTCTACTCTGCATTTTAAAGTGATGTGTACATAGCTAGTATGATTTTAATATTCTCATAAATTTTCAAAGATTGAGGATTAGTGAATACAAGGAATGCAGATTAATTTTTATTGACTTCTGCTGTTCACATTTTCATTACAAGGGAAAAATTTAGGCATATTTTCTTATAATGTCTTATTATCTTTTGTAAGAATATATCCACCAATTTTTCCTTTTATAAAAGCCATTAAGCTTGATTTGTCATAATTGTATCTTGGAATTATTGGCATATGCCTATCATCTGAGTAATACTTTTTTGATTTTTAGGAAAGATTAGCAGAAGAAATTGAAAAGCTGAGATCTGAACTTGACCAATTGAAAATGAGAACTGGCTCTTTAATTGAACCCACAATATCAAGGTAACATTAAATTCAAATTTATCTATAGTTCAGTAGAAATCAGTATGAATTCCCTTATGCTTTCATATATGAACTATAGTCAATCAGTATCTCTTATTGCTGAGTAGTCATTACTGTATTTTCACTCTTTATTGACTTATAGTTCCTACATTCAAAAATAGCTTCCTAATTTAGAAATAGTTTCTGAAGATGTTCTATAAAAATTTAAATCACTACCTTTTTACCCTGCATTTAATTATGCAGATAGAAGTATGTAAGATTCTTAAATGAAGAAATTGAATTATATATAAGAAGATTGCATCTCATTCCAAGAAGAGGCATCAGACCTTTTCTCTACCTGTGTTCAATGCAGAAATTGAACTCTACATAAAATTTTCTTTATATGTGGTCAATTCAGAAGCATGCAGAAATATTTCCAATGCTTAATGTGACTGTAAAACTATTGTTAATTAAAGTCACTTAGCATCTACCCATTAAAGTAGTTGCAAGTAAAAATGGAAAGAGAAATTAAATATGAAAAAAAATTCAAATAAATTTAGGTATAGTCACATATTTTGGCTCACTACCTCTTCTTAAAATAAAGAAGCAAAGGATGGCTGTTTATTTGGCAGATAGATAGATCTGTATGTTAATAATTTACATAATTTTCTTTTGTGCTTAAGGCCTTTTATCTAAAGTTTTTTAGAAACTCTAGAGGAATTCACTAATTTAATCATGTATTAACTACACAACCCAGAATCATAGCAGCTGTTTGAAAATTTTGAACACCACAGGCTTTTAGAAGTCTATCTTTCTTGGTCTTTATGTTCATCTTAAAAATGTTAACTCCACAAGAACAAAAGCATGTGTTCGTTTTGATAACTACTATAATCTCAGCACCTAAAAAACTACCTGGCATATAGTATGTTCTCAATAAATATTATTAAATGAAATAATGAGTATATGATAAAGCATTTTTCAGATGCTTGTGCAAAAATTCAAATAAAAATTTTGAAGTATTTTATACTCTTTAATATAAATATAAGTAAAAACAATATTCCATATTTTGAGTATTTTTGTACTCAATTCAGTGTGAGAAACAGTTCTGTAGGCATAAAAACACTCAAAGAATTTTTAAATATATATGTCATTAATTCAGAAAATCATGTTTATTTTTCACATTTTAAAAATTCTGATTTATATGTTCGAACTGAAAATATTATTTCAGTGATATGTACTCACATGGTGATGATGATGATGATGATGATGATGATGATGATGATGATGATGATGGAGAAGGAGAAGATTTAATGAAATATCAGAGGAGTAAATACATAGAATAAGCATTATCCAAGAACCAAATTATATATATCCTAATAAAACCAAATGGTCATTTCTTTGTCTTTTTGACCTTTGGTACCAAAATAGAATTATAGAAGTGTTGTCTGAAAATCCATGACTTCAGTAAGTTCTCATGGACAGCCTCCTAATGTGACATTTAATCACATGGAGGGTCTTTGGACTCATACAGAACAATTATTCATGGACACAGCAGTGGAAATAACACTAGATCAAGAATAACACAACCAATATTCCTAAGTCTCAGACAGATAATTACTAGCTGTTTGATTTTGGAAAATCCATTTTTCATTAATAAGATTCTAATTTTATGTGTAATTTATATGAATATATAAAAACAATATTTTTCTGATTATCTCTTTACAGATAAAATTAGACAAATAAGCAAAGAGGATTTTGTAAACAGTAAATCATGTTACAAGTACAAAATATTGTAGAAGTTATTAAGATAACTAAACTGATGGAATTTATAAGTTACAGGATAACTGAATGTTAATTAAATAACACATTTTATTGAACATCCATGCTTCTGAGGGCACACAATTTTAAAAAAAGGAAAACAAAAGGTGCATGAGAACTCAATCTACTAATTTTTGATCTAACAGGTGGGGAGGTGAGAAGAGATAAGCTAAGGTTAGTGATTACCAGTAACTAACATTCTCTCCTAATACTGCATCTGAGAAGAAAATAAAATGAGTTCCAGAAGGACTAGAGAAGGCTTCTTTTTTGGCTCAACTCTGAAGAAAGGTAGGATCTGAGTAATTGGAAAGGACAATAGAGAACATTTTAGGAAGCAGAGGGATGTGCAGCTAGGCTTTTTCTAAAAAAATTTATACCTGATTTATCTATAAAAGTTCTTTAATACAACTATATGCAGGAATCACAAGAGATTCGAGAGGAAAACTGCATGGTTCATTGTTTAAAGTGACCAATGATTGTTTTTTTGTCTTTTTTAACCTACTTAGATCTTCCAAAAGCCTCTTAAAAATATATTGTATGCCTAAAATAATTTTCTGTTAGAGAACTAGCTCAGAGAACTGAACAAAAAGGAGAGAGGTGAGCAGTAAACTTCTTTGGGTGAAGTTTAAGTGATGGGCTCTTCTAGGATTGGTATTGGCTCAGCCGTTTTAAGCACTTTCTATTTGCCAGACCTGTGTTATGTTGGAGATTAAGAGTACATGTTCCAGATGGAAAAATACAGAAATACTAGTTTGAGGACAGTTATAATAGAGGAAATACTTGGAGGATAGTGGATGTCAATAGCACTTTAAAGCTTAGAGCTTAAAATTGTTACCCATGTAAATGTATTAAGAGGCTGTTTTCAGCAAAAAGAACAGCATATTCAAAGGCTTAAAAGTAACAGTAATTGTAAGTTATTGAAGAACTGACACAAAGTCAGTATAGTTGGATGGAAAGTCAGGCAGAAGTTAGCTAAAAGTAAAGCTAGAAAGTAGGAAACGCTCAAATTATAGAGGACCTTTTAAGGACATCAAAGAGTTCTAAGCAGTGCACTGATATGGTCATATCTGTGTTTTGTTTCATATATTCATAAATGATCTGGAGTTGATAGATGAAACAGCCAGAAAACAATACTCCTAGGATGATGAGTTATGGTGTTAGAAACTCCATTCTGATGCCCAAAGGGATATTAATGTAAGCAGCCTCATGTAAAAGGGACCTAGATTGTTCTGAGCTAGATAGTTTGGGACTGTATTATACTCGATTTCATTCATTGACTATCTTACCAGATATTTATGAAGTGCTTACTATGTGCCTGACACACTTCCTTGGGCATAAAATGGTGACTAAAAATCTGATCTTTGTCTTCAGGAAACTTAGAACTTCTTCCCAATAGATAAAGACTGAGAGTTGTGCCATTTATGAGTATGGCCAGGTTGGTTAATTTTTATATATGATTTATCCACAGTAAAACCAGTTTACTTGATTAAGTCTCAAGTTTATCGCTATAAAAGCAATAGCTGTCATCCATTTGGAGGATGATTTCTTAGTTCATTTGTTCTAATGTTCCACTTGGCAAAACGGGGTCCTTCCTAAGTTAAGTCAGTGTCTTCCACTGTTGCAAACACTGTCACCTAACCTTTTTAGTCTTGCCAAATATTTGGAAATGCTTGTCTTTATGCACAAAGAGAACTAAAGGAGGGAATACAGTCAATCAGCAGGAGCACCAACTTCAACAGAAAACACAGCTTCAAGTATATCTCCTACTGATGATGGATCTGTTATTTCATTTTATATGACAGCATGATGTCGCCGTTATTATCATCATCATTATTGTAGCAATAAAATGAATTTGCTGCCAATCCATATATAAATAATATGCCTGGAGAAACCTTTTCTGCACTTTGATTATAGTGTACTTTATTACCATGTTTATTGAAAACTTGTATAATAATATTTTCCAATTGGAATTTTCTAACTGTTTTGTCTTTTTTTTCTTCTTGAGACAGAGTCTCACTCTGTTGCCCAGGCTAGAGTGCCATGGCATCAGCCTAGCTCACAGCAACCTCAAACTCCTGGGCTCAAGCAATCCTCTTGCCTCAGCCTCCCAAGTAGCTGGGATTACAGGCATGTGCCACCATGCCCAGCTAATTTTTTCTATATATTTTTAGTTGGCCAATCAATTTCTTTCTATTTTTAGTAGAGACAAGGTCTCACTCTTGCTCAGGCTGGTCTCAAACTCCTGAACTTGAGCCATCCTCCTGCCTCGGCCTCCCAGAGTTCTAGGATTATAGACATGAGCCACTGCGTCTGGCCTGTTTTGTCCTTAAACAGATTTCAAAATCAAATGTCCTTTTCAAAAGATTTTTCTTCATCCTTTTAGAGCAATGTCTTATCAATCTGATTTTAAGCATGATTCTCTAAATGGAAATATAGAATGTTAAAAATATATGATATGTGCATAAATTTCCCCCGAAACTTTAAAATTAAAAAGTTCTGGGATCCCAAAATTTCACACAATTAGATTTATAAGAAATATTTAAAATAAATGCAGCAGTAAATAACAAATATTGAGATATCCACTAAACTTTTTAGTGGATATCCACTAAACTTTTTAGTGGATATCCACTAAACTTTTTAGTGGATATCTGAATAGAATTGTCAGAAGTTAATCCAAATGTCAATCTTAACATATTTTATTGTAAAAGTGCATTTGAAAATGATGATAATGAACAGAAAGGTTGAAAGTACTGCATTTTCTAAAGGAGAAAATGCACTTTACTTTCGGGAATGTACCTAAGACTGTAACTTATGACATAAATCTCTGAAGAGGCCTCAAAGAATCATGACACTTCATCAGTTTTCTTCCACGAGGTTTATTTCCTTGAGGATTTATGCTTTATTGCCAATTAAGCTGTAGATGGTGATTTGCTGGTAAGTTTAATTTTTGAGATTGGATGTATTTCATATTTTTCCTTTTTTCCAGAACTCATCTAGACACCTCAGCTGAGTTACGGTATTCAGTTGGGTCCCTGGTGGACAGCCAGTCTGATTACAGAACAACTAAAGTAATAAGAAGGCCAAGGAGAGGCCGCATGGGTGTGCGAAGAGACGAGCCAAAGGTTGATCTTCTAATTTCAACTTTTCTAGTTTTATTTAAATACATCATTCCATTTTGGATAGAATGCTAACACTGAGAGAATTCGAAGTGCTAGCATTTTTATTAGTTTGAAGCATGGACTATGGTGTTTTAAAAATTATAACTAATACAAAGCCACTACTACGTGCCAGAAGTTGAATAAACACTTCCCATGTATTTATCCACATAACATTATGAAGCGGGTACTATTTTTATACTTATTTCAGACTTAAAAACCTTGAAGCTCAGAAAGATTCAGTGTTCAACATCACATAGCTAGCAAAGTGTTGGAGTCAAAACTTGGGCTTATATTTGTATGGTTTCAAATACTATGCCTTAATCATTATGCTATATTGCCAAGCACATGGACTTTTGGGTTGCTTGGGCATTTAAGCAATGATATAATTCAAATTAATTCAATATTTTAATTAAATTTGCTGTTTCAAAAACACTGAGCAAAACATACATTCCATCAATAACTTAAAATTTGTAATCTATGCTTGTTGACTATGTATTAATAGTTGTATTTTATAGAGAAATAATATAGTTCCTTTGTACCCTAAGTATAGTTTTTTTTTTCTCCCCAACCACTTTTACTTACCCAAAATACTATATAACCCATTTGGCCTTATTTGTACAAAGGCACTTGACACCTTTTGGGTTTTAACAGGCACTAGTATGTCATGTATAAATTAATCCCTCATAGTAGGCATTTAATCTCTTGAATGTATGAATAAATAAATGAACAAATGAAGACTAAATTAAATTAACCTCTTTTCTCATTATTATGGAACAAATAATATAGTGCTAATCAGTACTAAAACATAACACAAATGCTAATTCAGGTATTCAATTTTTAAGTCACTGCTCAAAAATACATCATGTAATCCACCATATAAATCACTTTACAAGATCACAAAAATGAAAACCAGTTCTTTAAAAAGCAGAAAACTCTAGGACATCTTTTTTATGTTCAACCCCTTCATTCCGCCAGGTCACAGCATAAAAAACACTAGTCTGTTGGTTACTTAAAATTGTCATTCAAATGGAGGATTTCTTATATCAATTTAAAAAACAAAGCCATGTAAATTAGCATACCTTAGGCTTAAAAAAATCAATGAACTATTCAATTTACCAGAGCAGTGGAGATGAAATTACAGGCATATCTCATTTTATTGTGCTTTGCTTTATTGTGCTTCACCGATAACTGCGATTTTTGCAAATTGAAGGTTAGGACAACTCTGCACCTGAGCAAGTCTATGGGTGCCATTTTTCAACAATATGTGCTCAGTTTGTGTCTCTGTGTCACATTTTAGCAATTCTCACAGTGTTTCAAACTTTTTCTTCATTATTATATCTGTTATGGTGACCTGCAATCAGTGATCTTTGGTGTTCCTATTGTAATCATTTTGGGGCACAGTGAACTGCACTCATATACGATGGTGAACTTAATCCATAAATGTTGTGTATGTTGTTATTGCTCCTCTGATAGCCATTTTCCTTCTCTCTCCCTTTCCTTTGACCTCCCTATTGCCAGAGACATACTCTTGAAATTAGGTCAATTAATAATCCTACAAAGGTCTCTAGGTGTTCAAGTGAAAAGGAAGAGTTGTATGTCTCTCACTTTAAATCAAAAGCCAGAAATGATTACGCTTAGTAAAGGAAGGTATTTTGAAAGCCGAAAGAGGCCAAAAGCTAGGCCTCTGCCATCAGTTAGCCGAGTTGTGATAGAATGGAAAAGTTCTTGGAGGAAATTAAAAGTGCTACTCCACTGAACACACAAATGATAAGAAAGCAAAATAGCCTTCTTGCTGATATGGAGAATGTTTCAGTGGTCTGGATAGAAGATCAAACCAGCCACAACATTCCCTTAAGCCAAAGATGAATGCAAAGCAAGGCCCTAATACTCTTCAATTCTATCAAAGGTTGAGAGAGGAGAGAAAGCTGCAGAAGAAAAGTTTGAAGCTAGCAGAGGTTAGTTCATGAGGTTTAACAAAAGAAGGTGTCTCCATAACATTAAAATGCAAGGTGAAACAGCAAATGCTTAGGTAGAAGTTGCCACAAGTTATCCAGAAGATCTAGCTAATCGATGAAGGTGACTATACTAAATAACAGATTTTCAATGTAAACAAAACAGCTTTATATTGGAAGAATATACCATCTAGGACTTTTACACCTAGAGAGGAGTCAATGCCTGGCTGCAAAGCTCCAATGGACAGTCTAAATCTCTTGTTAGGGGCTAAAGCAGCTGATGACTTTAAGTAGAATCCAATACTCTTTACTATTCTGAAAATCTTAGGGCCCTTAATAATTATGCTAAATTTACACTGTGCTCTATAAATGGAATAACAAAGCTTAGATGAAAGCACATTTGTTTACAGCATGGCTTACTGAATATTTAAAACCCATCATTGAGACTTAATGCTCAGAAAAAGATTTCTTTCAAAATATTACTGCTCATTGACAGTGCACTTGGTAACCCAAGAGCTCTGATGGAAATGGGAAATATACAAGGAGATTAATGTTGTTTACATGCCTGATAATACAACATCCATTCTGTAGCCCATGGATCAAGGAGTAGTTTTGACTTTCAAGTCTTATTATTTTTATAATGCTATAATGACATAGATTATAAGTCCTTTAATGGATCTGGCAAAGTAAATCGAAAACCTTCTGGAAAGGAGGAGCAAAGAAAGTGGTTTCTTGAGATGGAATCTACTCCTGATGAAGATGTTGCGAACATTGTTGAAATGACAAAAAGGATGTAGAATATTACATAAACTTAGTTGATAAAGCAGTGGCAGATTTTGAGAGGATTCCAATTTTGAATGAATACTGTGAGTAAAATGCTATCAAATGGCATTGCATATTACAGACAAATCTTTCATGAAAGAAAGAGTAAATCAGTGCAGCAAACTTCACAGTTGTCTTATTTTAAGAAATTCTCACAGTCACCACCATCTTCATCAATTGCCACCCATATCAGGTTGCATCCATCAACTTCAAGGCAAGATCCTCCACCAGCAAAAAGAACAAACTCAATGAAAACTCAGAGGGCCCTTGACACTTTCCTTTTTTAGCAATAAAGTATGTTTTAATTAAGGTACATTCATTATTTTAGAGATAACGCTATTGCACACTTAATAGACTGCAGTATACTGTAAACACAACTTTTATATGCATTGGCAAACCAATAAACTCATGTGACTCAGTTTATTCTGATATTCACTTTGTTGTGGTAGTCTAGAACCAAACCTGCAATATCTCTGAGGTATGCTTATAAATCACTTTGCAATATTTTTAATAATATTTTGTTAGAATCTATGTGAATGAATGTTGGGAAGATAATTTTTATGTATCTTTGTGTGTGATAATATTTGTGGTCTGAGCTTATAATAAGAAAAATATCAGTAAGACTGGCATAAGAAATGTGAATGCTTAAATACAGGTAAAGAGAGTCTGTTATATTTGGAAAAAATGTGTTGCAAATGTAGATGCTTTAAAGTAATTGTTACCTTGAAATGTGATCAAACTATAAATCACATAGAAGTTTATCATCTTTATTTCTATTAAAATCTTGATGTTTATGTTGACAATACCTGACATTACTTAAGATGTCAAGGAACTATTTTATTGAACCAATAAATTAAAATGTTAATAACTGGTTCTACTTTTACAAGGTCATCTATGAAAAATGCATGATGTTTTTGTTGTTGTCTTTAAGATAGGTGTTTTGAAAATGAACAATATGATAAATATTCCACATTCATTTACCATTCAGGTGAAATCACTTGGGGATCATGAGTGGAACAGAACTCAACAAATTGGAGTACTAAGCAGCCACCCTTTTGAAAGTGACACTGAAATGTCTGATATTGATGATGATGACAGAGAAACAATTTTTAGCTCAATGGATCTTCTCTCTCCAAGTGGTCATTCTGATGCCCAGACTCTAGCCATGATGCTTCAGGAACAATTGGATGCCATCAACAAAGAAATCAGGTGACTTCAATTAGTACTGATGGTTTCAAGGGATTAGAAGGCCTTGATATTATATGAAAAATGTAATTATCAGATCAGAAGCATTATTTGTAACCCAGGAACTTGTTTGACCTGCAGAATCTCAGACCTCACCACATGCCCACAGCATCAAAACATGCATTTTCACAAGGTTCCTAGGATATCTGTATATCTCCTGTATAAAATTAGGGCAGCCTTTGTAAGGAGCATGCATGAAGCATATACAGACCAGTAACATTAGGGGCAATAGAAAAGAATGAATTAAGACTACATTTTTCTGCAATGAAGTTTATAACATTTTTTAAATTAAAATTTACTATTTAAAGGGAAAGAATGTAATAGGGCACATTATTCAGATACATTTCGTTTCATATGGCAGTAAAGGTGCCAAATAGCATGCAAAATAATGTGCATTCAGCTCCCTTAAAAGTATTTAAACACTGGAGTGAAATTAATTTAATGTTCTTTTTGTCCATTTTAAGGCCATTATATCAGGGACAGGGCATTTCATTGAACACCTATGGAGTATGTCTTAGTCTCCTTGGGCTGCTATAACAAAATATCATAGACTGGTGGCTTAAACACAAAATTCATTTCTCACAGTTTTGTAGGCTGGAAAGTTTAAGATCAAGGTTGCAGCAGGGTTGTTTCTGGCAAAGCCTCTCTTCCTGGCTCTAGGGAAAGGGAGGGACGTTAATTCCATGAGATTAAAGCTCCACTCTTATCGCCTCATTTAGCCTCAGTTATCTCCTAATAGTCCTACCTCCAAATACAGTCACACTGGGAGTTAGGGCTTCAACATATGATTTGAAGATAAGGGACACAATTCAATTCATAGCAGAGCATAATGTGAAAGCAGGAAAGGGTGCTCTTCTCTGCCAGTAATAGATTAAAATAAAAAAGTAATGCCTTTAAATAATGGGATAAACTAAAGGTACTACTGCTATTCATAATAAAAGTTAAATTTATATAGTAATATAGTGCCTGAAAAATGCAGATTGCTAATCTTAACGCTTTTGGTTGGTTAACTGTATTCATTACTAGCCTCCAAGTGGAGGTATTTTCAGGCTCTTGGTACACTTGGGAAAAAAGAATTTCAGGACCCAACACTTAAACCAAACAGAAGCAGCTATTATTGAAAGCAAAAGTGAAAGTATGCTCTCTCAAGAGAGAGGGAGTGAGCAGGCTAATAAAGAGCAGTTGTACCAAAAGGAAGTGGTTTTTGGTCTTATGAAGTTTCACTAATGGAAAGGAGGAATATTCAAAGCCAAGGGGTTGGTTTTCACTAAGAATTTGGGTAGTAATTACAAGAATTGAGTTCTCTGCTATTTTCATACTTTCTATATTAGTAATTGTTTCAGAACTGACATGATGATTTCAAGGGCAGAAAAATTTAAAACCACAATGCAAATGATGTTTTAATTAGCCAAAGTTCATGTAAGCTGACCTAGATACTTGACAAGCTCGTTGAAGCTGGTTCTTGTCTGTGGCTATCAAGCTCCTCCTAGTTAGATTTTAACAACTGCACTCACTCTGCAAGCCCCTGCATCCAGGCTCAGCCCCATCTCCTAGTCTCCTACTGTAACTCTTCACTGGTGCCTAAAACTTCCTTTTCAAGTTTGGCTGCTACAGTATTTTAAACTGAGACCTAATTCTTATATAGATTTATTTTCATGATTAATTAATATTCTTATATCAGTGAAGATACATTTTTCACACATTAGTTTTGAAGTTTATGGCAAATCAGACTGATCAATAAAAATCCTCTGCCATTTGGGGGAAATATGTGTGCAAATTTTCTAAGTAAGCAAGGAGGACCAAATTCATTTTCATTCTTCAAACGTAAAAGGCTTAATACATCTGCAAGATATAATTTAATATTATAGCCTAATAAGTCTCTTTATTATATTTTCATTTCAAAGGCAATAAAATGTGGGTGATGCATTTGATGAATTATTTCATACTTGATATAAAAAATGTATTATCACCACATAGTATACTGATAATGGATGGTTTACATTATACAATTGAAATCATATAAGTTGACATTTCAAATAGGGAGAAATGTTGGCATTATGATTATTTGAATATTAATTTAATATATAATTTCTTGAATCTCAATGACATCCAGTTTTTCTGTCATTACCTTGACTAACCCCAGTGAAGAACCCACTGTGTCAGGTGGATTTGTTTTTTTCTAATATCAGGAACTTTTCAATTGATGAACAGGACTGCACTATTTTAAACAATGCCTTTATCTCGCTCTATCTAAATATGTTGGCCTTCTAATATGATTCAAATCTACCTAATTTTCTACTCTCATTATCCTACTGCACATTAAAATAGTTACTCACCTGAATGACAATAACAGTTTCAATTTGGTTTCTTTGTAGTATTTGAGCTGTCAATATGATCCTATCTAATACTGCACCCAGAGCAGACTTTTGTAAGGAAAAATGTGCTTATGTATTCTCCCTTTTTTAAATCCTTCAATCGCTCTTATGACAAAGACCAAAATTCTTAATATAATCTATAATATCCCACCTATTTCACTATTTTGTGACCATTCACCTCTCCTACACTTTGACTCATTACACATGACTTCCAGTTCTTTGAACATTCTTTGTTCTTTCCCTTGTTGTTGCTCTTACTTTCTTCTGGAACATTCTCCCATTCCACACTCTACTAACATTTCACCCATTTTACCCTTACTCACCAGGAACAGCTCCACCATCACTTCCCCCAGGAAAGTTGTTCTGTCCTCCTGTTCTTTACTGTTACTAGATTGTAATTTATATAAAAGCAAGAAATGTATCTGGTTTTGCTCACTTTTATTTCTAGGTCTTAGCACTTGCTTGATATGTAGACAGTGTTCCATAGATATTTGATTACTATACATAGGAAAAAATAAGCTGGAACATAAATTCTAACTGAATAGCACATTCTGGTGCTATTTTGGCTAATGGTTGAATTCACTGAATAGGTTTGAAATCAAGTCTATATTCTTATGATATTTATTTTTACCACAGATATGAACACACCCTCCATAACAATCTGTTTCTCTTCTGAGACTCTTAGCTCTGTTACATTAGGGTAGTAATTCCTAGTAACAATCTTAACCTAGATTAATTAAGAATGTAGGTTAATATAGTAGCTGATTTGTGAAATTTTGAAAATAAATAAAATTTGATTCCCTAGCAACATTTAAAAGAAATAATCACCTTCATATAAGCTGTGGCAATCTGCTAACACCAACCAGAATTTATCTCTTAATATTTTTCTTTTTTCACAAACTAATTTAATCACTAAAAAAAAAATCATCTCTTATGGCTTATTCACAGCTCACTCCTTCCCTTAAAGGGAGGAATCAAATTATCTCAGACTCATTTACCACAACAATGTTCATTGAATTGTTCTTACATAGTTAGCTACTATTTTACCTACCTTACTTTTGTAGTATTTATCCTTTCATCTTTTTTTATGATTCCTGTGGGAGTCCTTCCTCAACACACTGGGAGATTCTAAAGGGAATCAGTTTTGGGTTTTTTTTCCTCTTGCTTTCCATATTTATATTCTAAAGATCAAAGGATTTTCATTTATTCTTCCAAATAAACCTAACTTCTAGGTAGCATTTAATTTTCTGTTAGTCTAAACTTCAATCTACCTCCTACCTAACTTATTCCTTTATGTTTGGCTCTCTTTTATAATTAGTACAGTACCTAGGGTTAATAACTAAAACGTGTGTACAACAGAACTATTTTGTCTCTTACCAGAAGATTTTTCTGGAGGAGTCATTTTTTTTCATCAAGTATTTTAAAAGTAAAAAAAAAAAAATGCTTTTTTTTTAAGGGAAGGTAGTTTTTCCTTTCAAATGTGTTTTAACCATTAATGATGTTGTGCTGTGTTATTGATTGAGCCTTCCTTTGGGATTCTGACCTTGAGGTAAAGTTAAAATGCATCCATGAAAATAAAGAATCCTTAATCTTTCTGTAACTGAAAGATTATAATTAAATGTGAATGTGCCACATAATGCTTCAACCAAAATGAATCTTTGTGAACACATATTGTATTAGATTTTAAGGGCATACTTTGTGGTTTTTTAACTGGGTCCATTAGAATCTCGACTATCGTTTATTCTAAGGACCTATAAGGAGACTAGCAAAATACTTTTTATCAGGCAAGTGAATAAATATATGCTACTTGAAAACTGAGAGTTGCAGAATAAAGATAGTAAAGATGCAAGCAGTGAGTTAATCATCAAAAAGCTGGTGAACATATAGGTGAGAAAATGTAGCTCAACTTTCCACAGCAAAGACCAAACAACTATCTCCTATTGCATAAATATAGAAAATAAATGACATTCAATATAGTAAATATGTAAAAAAATAAAAATAAAAACAATAAAAAACTTTGAAGTGACCATAAACTTCAAATACCATAGGAGATCACAGTAAATCTACTTAAAAACAAAATAGCTCAGAAGTTTATGACTCCCTTATCAAACAAGCTGTACCGATAAACAGTTTGATTGTAACAACATACAAAATGTATACAGATTCAACTTAATAGGATCTTTATGCAACCTAGTTAAAGCTCTTTATTCTTTGTGCCTTTGTAATAATTGTTATATATATTCACAAAGCTACTTTCTTATTTAAAGGAAAAGGATAACAGCTAGTGCTTTGCCTTCTCAAAAGTATCGATATCAACAGTTTTATTTTAATATTGTTTCATTGTCTGTCATCTCTCTAGGTAGCTAAACCTCCATGTTACTAAGTTGTCTGATACTTATTTAAAGGAGGCTTAGCTAAGTATATATTAATATTAATAAAAAGAAAAAGAAAAACTCAGGGTTTTATTTGGCTTCATGAAAAGTATGAATGACCATTTATTGAGGATCCTATCATTTAAACATTTTCATTAGGTGGGAGGGAAGATTCAATGATTTTCTTGAGGTCTGGGTTTCTAAATGTCTCTTTTATTGGTACCTTAGTTCAAGTGTAAGATTAACATTAGTAGCAGAAATTAACTAAACTGCAAGGTTTTAAAAGAATTTTAGCAAATGGCAGTGTAAGAAGAGGGTCAGACTAAAAGTGGGCAGCAATTACATATCCTTTGCGAAAAATAATTTTCTAAATTGCAACCAGAAAAATCCCTAGAATTTGCTGGAAATTATATTGCCTAGAGAAACAAAAACCATGAAGATATTGACATAAAATGCTCACAGCTAATTTTTTATTGATTTATGTCCCATTTTAATTACCTTTACAACAGTATATAATGGATCCATATTAAATTAAACGTAATGGATGAAAATTTAACTGTATATTTCAGGCTGATACAAGAAGAAAAAGAATCTACAGAGTTGCGCGCTGAAGAAATTGAGAATAGAGTGGCTAGTGTGAGCTTGGAAGGCCTGAATTTGGCCAGGGTCCACCCAGGTACCTCCATCACTGCCTCTGTTACAGCCTCTTCACTGGCCAGTTCATCTCCCCCCAGTGGACACTCGACGCCAAAGCTCACGCCTCGAAGCCCTGCCCGGGAAATGGATCGGATGGGAGTCATGACGCTGGTATGATGATGTGTCCAAGAATCTTTGCCCCCGTTAAGGTTAATGATACATTAGCTAAACTCGCTGGATGTTTGTTGTAGTCTAAGTCCTTTCCGTGTATTGCATTGTTTCTTTCTTTCTTTTCACAACAATCCTATGGGGTAGATACTATTATGAATCCAATTAGGAGATAGGAAATCTGTAGCCCATACAGGTGTTGTAACTTTCTCAAGGTCACATAGTAAGTCAATGGATGAGCATGGAATCTAACGATGACATTAGAAATTTGATTCCAATATTGAGGAAATAAATTTGGACTCTTTGGGATTTTTTTAAACATAATAAATAACAAAATTATGTATTATCTTTGTTTCAATACACCAAGGCATAAATTTATAATTTTACAATATTATATATAAATTTTTCATAAGAGCTATAAAAAGCAACAGCAGCTAATTCCTAATTTTGTTTTAAACTTTATGTCAACATTTTCATATTTATTCTTTATTTATGAGATTAAAAGTTGGAAGCCTAAATTAGGAAGTCCCTTGAACACAACTGAGAGAAAATCAAAGTGCCTCATGCAAAAAATAATATAATAAACACTCTGAAAAATATGATTGGGATGACTACTGAATGCCACAATGTTAATTCATTTAATTCCCATGACAAAACTGAAGGTAGGAGGGCTTTATATCAATGGAGAAAGGAGGCTTTGAGAGTGCCCATGTTCAATGCAGCTAATAAGTGGAGCTGGATTTTTCCTCGAATTTGCCTAACTGAAAAGCATCTACTGTCTTTTTTTTCTGTAATTACCTGGAAAAATGTTCAAATGACAGCAATTATGAAGAATAAAATATTCTGAACTGTTTATGGAGGTGAAATTCTATGTTTTTGTAATGAATATACACTGTATATTTACAATTATGGGACTTCCAAGCAATTAAGCTTATATAAAAGGAAAATGGTGAAATTTTTTTAAAAAGGAAATAGGTTAAGCCAGAGTCTACTATTCTGCACTCATTTCCAACACTTCATATTAAAAATATTTTTTAAATAGACAGAACAGACAATGTCCAATTAGAACAATGGCCAGCAATTCAGAAGTGACCCCACCTGGATACAACACAAAGTTTTACCCAAAGTATTAGCATATATTAACCAATTATACTGAGCTACATTGTGATTTGCTTATTTTAGAAATGTAGGAACCATCCATCTGATTTTATTAACTAAAAATATTATTGTCTCTGGCTTAGTTTCTGCATATATAATATATGCTACATAATATTGATGACCAACTTATTACCAAAGCTATAGTAAGAACCTTGGACCATAGAAAACAATTTAGTCAACATTCCAGGCAGATACTTTATTTCTGTACTCCTTTTATTTCTTATGTTTTTACAACATAGTATTTTGCTCTTTTAAGTATTTTTATAGACATTAGACATTAGCATCATAATCTTTGATAGTACTATTATTTTTATAGTAATAAAATAATATACTTAAAATTATTTAGATGTGATTTTGTGTGTGTGAAAAAGATGTCAGTGCTTTCATGCATTTTCTTGAGTGGAAATAAATCCATGGTTAATGAACATTAATATTATTATAGTATAATTAGAGTAATGACAAATATTTAAAGAATTTTTGAAGGGTAAAAAATATTTAAATTGTTCAATATCTAAGTCAGAAAAGCAAGAAATGAAATTCAGGACGTCTTTACTACCTAATATAACTCTGTCACCAAATTCATTATTTTTATGATGAAATGGCTAGCTATTTTTTTTAGCTATTGAAAATACTGAAGGAAAAGTAATTTTGTTGGATATAATTTATATTTGATATTCAGAGGAAGATTAAAATTTTTAGGCACAGAAAATTAGAGATCAAAAAGACATTGTATTAGCTGAATTGTTTAATAATTCACAAACATTATTTTTTGTCCTGATAATAAAGCCTACTTGTATTTACTTTTGCCTCACAGCAAATCCATAAACATAAATAACATGCTATTAATAGCAACACCTAATTATTAACAGAATATTGAATGGGGTAACATCAATACACTTCCCTATTAAAAAATATAAAGCATAATGGAATAGCTTAACAAAAATTGTTTTACTTACATAAGGAAAATGAACAAAGATATTAAGTGAACTAGATTCATCTGGAATCATTAAAAAATTGACTATTTTTAAAACTTCTGTAAAAGAGCATTGACAAGAAAGCAGCAGCCCCAGAAACATGCTATGCTGAGGCAAAAGCATTGGGCATTTTTGGGGTTTGGGAAGGATGTTAGGATAGCAGGAGGTTAGAGATCTCTCAGGAACAGCATACTTGCCCAAAGAGGGCTGAAGGCTCTGTATGGATGGGGCAAAAGGGAAAGTTTATAAACTCTACGTATGTGTATTGGATCTTCATTCCCATCTATATTTTCTTGGGAGGATATAGTCCCATATTTATTTCTGTCTAACTCGGGCTTCTGGCTTTGCTCACTCACTCCATCTGTGCTTTCTATTCCCCAGGGTCCATGCCTCATAGCCAAGGTGTAGACACATGGCTCCATCAAGGAGACATATCGCTGAGAGGTTCCCTCTCTGAAGTAACTACCAGGAGGAGTGTTTCTATTATGATTAAAAGACATTTGTTTAGAAAAGGATAGAATGAGGGGAAATATTGATGGCTGATTTGTAGATACTATTTCAACTTGTAACATGGTCCAATGGTAATCATTAATTAGTTCTGTTTTATGTTGTTTTTGTTACTGCCAATCACAGCCAAGTGATCTAAGGAAACATCGGAGAAAGGTACTGTAAATAACTTTTACATGATTACTAGTTGAATATTGTTTTATTCTATGAAAGCTTTAAAATAATATTCCCTCTAGTTGAAGTATTTTATTAACATAAAAAGAAATATTGAAAGTATGTAAATGTTATTAAATTGTTTAAATAAGATCAAAAGAACAAATACTTAAAAAATGAAATTATTTATGCTTTCTAGGGCAATGATTTGATCATGTGAACTAAAAATCCTGATTTTCCACTGAATATTTAAGCCACAGATGGTAGAAGTAGATATTTTAATATAAATACTTATATTTACTAATACAAATACAAATATTATAATATTTAATGTAACTCTAAAATAAATAGAACAATGCTGATTGTTTTTAAATGTTTGCATTATTATTATTATTATTTAGATATGGTGAGGCCAGCAAATCAGGAGACAACTCAACAAAAGATACTTTCTTACTCACAGTTCCCTAGAGGAGGGGGTACTCCATGCCTCAAGAAAGCACCAGGATCAGTCAGAAACAGAAAGAACAAAGAGAAAGCATGGGCAGAAGCCTTAGGAGGTCTCTTTAGGAAGAGCAAGGCAAGATAGGGTAATTATTAATAGCTTAGGATTGATTGAATAATTTCAGCTGGCTCTGGAGTATAGGGACTGTCTCTAGCTGTTTCAGCCTGGCCCTGAGATGATTGGGGCAGGGGAATATTGCCTTTTGAAGTACAAGAGCCAGTTAGAGAAGGTGATTCAGAATTTGGGCTCTTAAGTGGTTGGTTTGCATATGAAAGGTGTGTTTACAGAGGATTACTTTGCTATCTCCAGGAATTAACTATCCCTATAACAAGTCTCTCCAGATGCCAGAGCATCAAGAATACGGAATGAAATCTAGAGAATAGGATATAGGAAACAAAATGGACTCCCATTCTGATTCACAAAATGACATTTTATTAGATAATTGAGAACAGCAGAGCTTGCACTCATAGGATCTCAGATGGGAAAGATTTCAAATATTCGACCTACTATACAGTGCATAAATCTATTCTTCAGCATCTTTGAGATGTGGTAGTCACCTTGTATGTATATGGCTTAGATTGATAGGATTTTCTTTTTCCTTTCCTGAGCTATTATCTGTCATCCTATAGTATCTTTTCCTTCATACTACCAGTTGGTTCTCAACTACCAAATCTACCAAGTATAATGTCCTGATTTTCTTTGACTTCCTCCACTACCAGGACTATACTGGGAATCTAGAATGTAATCTGAGTGGGTGGTGTAAAAGAAGTTTAGTGGGTGAAAGAAATAAAAAGGCAAAGCAGTGCACAGCAGCTCACTCCTGTGTTCCCAGCTACTCTGCAGGCTGAGGTGGGAGGATGGTTAGAGTCCTGGAGTTCAAGGGTAGCCTGGGCAACATAGCAAGACTCACACATCTCTAAAAAAATAAAATAAAATAAAAAGAAACAAAAAGGTAGGATGGTAGGTCCTTTACAGAAATTTAGCTTTAAAGACTTCAGAGACTGAAGAGGTAACTTGTACTAAAGGTCATGGAAAGAACTACAAACTAAAATTGTGTATTAGGGTAAGGAGTTACATACATAATTTTTATTTACACTTCAAAAGAACACATTAAAATTAAGTGTTACCACTTATATTTTATTGGTGTGGAGACTGGGTAATTTATAAAGAAAAGAGGTTTATTTGGCCCACTGTTCTGTAAACTTCAGAAACATGGCCTCAGCATCTTTGCTGGTGAGGACTTCAGGGGGACTTGCAATCAAGGCAGAAGGCAAAGGGGAAGTGGTCATGCCACATCATGAGAGAGAAAGAGCAAGAGAGAGAAGAATAGGAACCACTCTCTTTTAAACAAGCAGCTCTACAGTGAACTAATAGGGAGAACTTACTTATTACAGCCTGGGGATTGGGGTGGGGGTAACACATCCATTCATAGGGTATCTGACCCCATGATCCAAATACCTCCCACTCTCCCACTAGGCCCCACATCCAATGCTGGGGATCAAATTTCAACATGAGATTCAGAGGGGCCAAACATCCAAACCATATCAGTGAGGAAATTTAATATTAGAGCAGGTAGGTAGCCAGCCTACTCATTCAACATTCAAGAGAAACCAGGATTCAAATCCACTTCCTTTCTTCCTTTTGGTGTTTTATTGTTTTTGTTTTCTTTGTATTTTTCTTTTGAGGGGGGGGATTGTTTGTTTATTTGTTTTAGTTTTGGGACAGGGTCTCCTTTATTGCCTGGTCTAGAATGCAATGGTATCATCATAGCTGACTGCAACTTCAAACTCCTGGCCTCAAGCAATCCTTCTTCTTCAGCCTCTGGAGTATCTAGGACTGCAGGCTTCTGTCACTATGCCTGGCTAGTTTTTTATTTTTATTTGTATTTTTTGCAGAGATGAGGTCTTGCTTTTGCCCAGGCTTTCCATTCTGTTAATGTAGTGTGTCATTCAGAGGAAACTTTTGTATATGATGTTTTTAAGAATTGTTATTGGCAAAAAGTATAGGTTGGTTGTAGGGAGAACAGAAAGTGTTTCGGGAGCAAAATTCTGGAAGCAAAAATGGCCATATTTAGCATAATCGTGGTTAGATTACAAAACTGTGAAAACACCAACATATATTAGAAGAGTTCAAAAATGCTTAAGAGTGAAATGTGGGTTTAGGAAGGTTTTCCCATAGCATTGGAATCAATATGAAAGCAGTTCTTAGAAGTGATTCTCCTGGAAGTAGTATACTAGTTAATGGAGAAAAGGAATCATATTACAATGCCTATCTAAACTATTAAAAGTAATCTAGGCTTGGGTAACAAAAGCCCTGACAAGCAATTTCATTAACTTTCCTCCAATGTATGAGATCTTTTTCATAGATAAGCACATTTATGCATGATAGCTTTACATAGAAACAAATATTTCCCCAGAACACAGCTTTAACATTTTTGCTGCTTTAGCCATACTAAGAACTTTTTTTATCAGAACTTTCTAAACCATGTCTTTTAGCTGTGCTTTCCATGGTCTTGATCTCTCTATATATTGTAATACACAATGATGCCATTAAAATTATCCAATGCTGTTGTAAAGATTTTTTTTTTCTTACAGCTCTGTGTGTCTTTCTATCTCTGACAAAATTTATGGCACCCTGAGTTGTTCAGGATTCTGAACTAAATTATTCATTAAAGAAATCCCTCCCATTCCATCATCTTTTGCTTTTCTGTATGTCTTTGCCAATTTTTCCATCACAGTAGTGAAATGAAACAATTTGCAAAAAATTTGTTCTTACCTTTTATTATTCTCACTTAAAAGAAAGTTTTTTTCTTATAAAATGCAACTCATTTTTAAACACCTTGTGATATATTTCATTAGGCTGAGTGTTTTACAACACTTTATCTAATAAAATTATATTTTGTCAACTTCTCTTCTTATTTTCAAAAATCCTGACTTAACAGATGTCTTTGTCCTATAACCTGACTAGGCATAATGCTTTATATTTTAGTGAGTTTGCTGAAATATGCATTCAACACCTTTTGGTAAAGTATTTACATTCTGATTCAATGAAATGTATTCCAGAATAGCTTTCTCATAGTTACTGAATATTGATATATGGCATTTATTATTCAAGCAATATTTTTATGTAGTGGATCCATGATTTTTTAATTGCAGTGTCTTCACTTTTAAATAGCTGTGATAATCACACTCCTTAGTAATGACAATTTATATATGTAAGACTTATATGCCTCCAGTTTTGTTGCTTTTGTTCTATTTTGTACTAAAATTACTCAAATAGCCTTGCTTTAATGATGCTTCATTTGTATTGATTTCAGTTGAAATCCTGAAACAGTTCATTTGAATGTATTGTTTTTGCTTCTAGATTGCAGTGGTGGAAGAAGATGGTCGAGAGGATAAAGCAACAATTAAATGTGAAACTTCTCCTCCTCCTACCCCTAGAGCTGTCAGAATGACGCATACCCTCCCTTCTTCCTACCACAATGATGCCAGAAGGTGAGACTTTCCGGGCATACTGCACATTGGATTCTCTCCTTCCCAAAATTTTCCACTTCCTTCAATGTTGTCAAATAGAGTACTTAAAAATGTATATGAAAAATTTGATTTGCACCATAACCCTCTATCAGGATATTGTCCTGCTCCCTCTCCCCTCATATCACTTGTGAAAACACCCAATTTCCATTTGAGATCAAATTTTTCACTTTTCTTTTTTTATTTGAGACAGAGTCTTGCTCTGTCACCCCAGGTGGAATGCAGTGGTTTCGCTATAGCTTACTGCAACCACAAACTCCTGGGCCCAAGCAATCCTCCTGCCTCAGCCTCCCCAGTAGCTGGGACTACAGGCACAGACCACCACCACACCCAGATAATTTTTCTATTTTTAGTAGAGACAGGGTCTCACTATTGCTCAGGCTGGTCTCAAAGTCATCCTCCCACCTCAGCTTCCCAGAGTGCTAGAATTACAGGCGTGAGCCACCATGCCCAGCCCAAATTGTTAATTTTAAAATTAAGCATCTTTGTGGTCTTGTTATTAGTCAATATATTTGACTAATATATAGGATAGCTCTTTTAATTTTAGTAGATATTTCCCTACTTAAATGAGATCAGGCTAGCAGAAAGACTTATTAGGCATGGTAACAAAAAACTAAAGGAATTCTAGGACAAGATTACAAATTTGGATTGTAGTGTAAGAGTAATTAAGGTCTACAAAGCCCACAATTGTGCCTCATTTATCTTTAGCAGCCAGGTATGTGCACCCTGTGGGTGCTGCTGCTGCCAGCAATAATAACTCTTCAGGAAGAAAGTTCTTACAAAGGAAAAAAAAAAACATAGCACATTGGCCAAAACATTAAAGTAAAAGATAAATCCATATGGAGAAATATGTCATTTGTCATAGCAACTCTTTTATCCACATGCCTAAAAGAATTGTAAACAGATTTTCATAATAATTAATGATATAAATAAGTCTCATCATACAGCTTACATCATAAACTTATGTTCTCCTCCTGTCTTATCAATTGCAACATTTCTAGACACATAATTGATATAACCAAATGTAATGACTTAAGAATTAATACTGTGTTTAAGAAAGAATATTTCATCTAAATAGTATATTTTATAATAAATGATTTTGAAAACAGGACTTTCTTTGTTGGCAGGCATTTTTTCTTTTTGATTATTTTTAATTGTCAATGTGGAAAAAAAGGTTACTCTAACTTTAGAATATGCTTTTTCACTCTCCAAGAAAAGAGTGAATTATATTTTTAACATATAAAACACTATTGCTTTGAAGTTTAGGGTGTGTGAGCTCAGATTAATTAGGATAAGTAAAGTTAAGTAATTCATCATAGTATTATCAATTTAATTACTATAAAAGTGTTAGCAATATCTATTGAACCTCTCCTATGAATACAGTGTCAAATATATTAACCAGAAATTGAAGCCACACCAACTGCTTAGAAATCATTTTGGCTTATCATGTATCTAAAAGAATACTTGAGAATTATAATTAAGAAAAAGTATATAGTAATCATTAGGGTAGATGATTTATTTTGCTCCTAGATCCCACTTAGATGATTTTAAATTAAATGAATTAGACTCCAAAATTAAGAGAAGAAAAGATGACTAGAAGAAAATCAAGTACAACTATAGGTTAGAATAGCAGCTTCAATTCATAGTCAGTTATATTTAAATTGTTTTACCATAGGTCGTTATGTTTAAGATTAGAGTGGGACTGCAATGTTCCTAACATAAAGAAATGATACATGCCTGAGGTAATGCATGCCCCAGTTACCCTGATTTGATTAATTCACATTGTATATCTGTATCAAAATATCACATGTACCTTAAAAAGATATACAATATATGTACCATAATAATTAAAAAGAAAAAGAAAAAATATTAGAAAAATAAACCCTGAGGAAGAAAGAAATAATGGGTCAAGTGCACAATAACAGAAGATCATTTAACATGCAGTTAATAAACCAGTCTCTATTCATTGATTAGTTTGAGATTTTACTGAAAATAAAAGGACAAAAGCCACTTGGAACAAAAGTAAATTTTTCTAGTGAAAATTTGGAGGTTCAGGGGCCTGAGGCTGAAGAAACTACACTTCAATATCTTAAGAGGCAAAGTGGGAAGGAAATAAAAAGTAAAGTCTACTTGTTCCTCCTTTAGTACTTTCATAAAGAAAAAAGTCTTGTGTATCTTGTGGATGGTGCATCAAAATGAACAGTCTGCCTTCTTTTGTGTTTTGCAGTAGTTTATCTGCCTCTCTTGAGCCAGAAAGCCTTGGGCTTGGCAGTGCCAACAGTAGCCAAGACTCTCTTCATAAAGCCCCCAAGAAGAAAGGAATCAAGTCTTCAATAGGACGTTTGTTTGGTAAAAAAGAAAAAGCTCGACTTGGGCAGCTCCGTAAGTATGCATGTGTTAGACTTTCCCCTGCTACTCATTTTAGTCACTTTGAAGTGTCCGTCTATCCTTCATTTCATTCCATTTCTCTTTTATTTTTTTCTCTTTTCTACCTGACAAGCTTTCTATCTTCATCAGATTTATAAGTACAATTTAGCTGAATAATTCTTAATAAAAGCTACAGTAAAAGAATATTATAAAATTTCAGTCCTTTTATTTCTCTGTTAATAACAATAGCTAGAATTTATTTAATGCTAACTCTTGTGATAGGCACAATTTCCCTATGGGGCAAATGTTATTACTGTCCTTCTTATTTTATTGATGAGTAAACAATGCCTTAGTAATGTCACAGAACTGGGATCTTCATCCTGGTGCCAATATTTCAAAGTCAGCTTAAAACCACTGAGTATGTCACCACTTAGAGCGTGGATGGGTATAAAAGCTTAGCTACATAACTTTAAAAGCTTTTCTGTTGAAAATATGAAAGCCTACAAAAAAACCCAAAAGAATTTTTTTAAGTTAGAATATTTATAAAACTTTTTAATATGTATGGCATAAAATGTAAAGTACTGATTTTCTTTGTTTAAAGCTATTACAGCTTCCCCCCAATAATCTCTATGGCGTGTAGGTGAGATGGGGGAGAACAGGACAATAGGGATTGTACTAGAATTAGTTATTGTTAGTGACTAATTGAATAAAAATATAAAACAGAACATTTGAAATGAACTATAACATTAATATATAAATATTAATATTTATAAATAGATGGAGAATAGATACATACATACTTATATAATTGAAACAAAAGAGTATATGATATTTCTGAATGATATATACACTTGGCTTTTAGGAAGGTATCTTTCTATTAATATATATTTATTTTTAGAGTTAAATTATTAGGAGAGGATTAAACTCTTACCTCCAATGTTAAAGTGCTAAACAGAGTGATACAAACTTCTTAGTACATTCTTTAGTTTCTCAAATAAAGGAATAATTATTTGCAAGGAAAGCTTAACTCCAAGACTTAGTTTCTTGCCCTACCACCAAAAGAATTTCTGAATATGATATTCATGTTTGCCAATTTATTACTACAGTATTAAAAATGCCTTTCCTGCCCAGGCTGCAGTACAGTAGCTCCATTATACTTCACTGCAGCCTCAAACTCCTAGACTCAAGTGATCCTCCCACCTTAGCCTCACAATACGCTGGGATTACAGGTGTGAGTCACTATGCCTGGCCATGCAATTCATTTTCTTTAGGTCATCTGCCAGATGGTATTATCATCATCTGAACTCATGACCTGCTATAATAAGCATAATAAAAAACAATTTCATAGTGACAAAATCAGCATCAACATTGCACCAGCATTATTTAGCAAGTACAGTCCTATATTGCTGAATGATGAGGATATGTTCTGAAAAATGCATCCATTTGGTAATTTTGTTGTTGAGCGAACATCATAGAGCATACCCATACAGACCTGTATAGCCTACTACACACCTAGACTATATAGTACAGTCTATACTGTGTCACTGTACTGAATACTATAGGCAACTGTAACATAATGGTAAGTATTTGTGTATCTAAACATATCTAACCATATAAAAGGTACAGTAAAAATACGGTATTATAATTTCATGGGACCACTGTCATATATGCAGTTCATCATTGATCGAAACATTGTTATACAGCACATGACTGTACATTTCTACTCACCAAATTTGGGTGGCTTTGCTGGCCTTCACCCCAAACTTTAGATTGTTCCTTGATGCTCTGGAACCAACAGATACAATATAAATTCCACAAAGTATCAATTAGAAATGACTAATCCTCTGCATGGTGAGAGGGTTTTGCTTTGAGTAAAGTAGTAGTTAACATCAATTAGGGATATAATTATTACATACCATTTACGAGCCAGGCACTATGCCTAGATGCATTCTCCAGATGCTAGCAGACTAACAGACATGGAACAATTTAGTAACAATTTATGAATTCAAGTGTATTTAAATACAAACGAAGTGGTAGTGATTGATGCTGAAGTTTGAATGAAAGAAAGATGAAGCTACTGATTAAGAGTACAGATTGTAGTCTTAATTTCTCTAAAGTTAAAGCTCTCTTTTTCGTACAATGAATGACAGAGACCTTGCTGAACAAACAGAGTGACAGAGGCCTTGCCATGTGGGTTTTGGCAAGAAATTCCTACAAACTTGTATCTCAAAGGCCAGTATAAAACAAATTATTTTGAGTGGAATGTAAGGCCTGGGCAAAGTAGAGATATTTGCCTTTTTCAACCTAAATAACAGAGAGAGGTTACCTGAAAGAAAATATGTTTATTTGAGAATAGGACATTTTAATGAGAATATGCATAAAATATGTGCATATTCAGGGAGGTAAAAGAAGGTTTTTAAAGGAAAAAAATGAGAATTAGATAATTGTTTTGAAATAATTATCCTTGGCTATAAAGATCAGTAACAAGGGTGATATGAATCTGAGCTTGGACAGTTACCAGGCAGATGTCCCTGCAGAAATATTTTTTGTGTAAGGTTGTGATGGCCCTAGTACCAGGTCATGGCTTTTGTGGAAATGTTTGTTTGTTTGTTTGTTTGTTTGTTTGTTTGTTTGTTTGTTTGTTATCAGGCATACAAGTGTGAGAACCCTCTCTTTGTGATCTTTGCCGACTCTATTTGCCATGGTTTTCATAATAGTAGGGACTCTATTTTGTTTCTGACAACTTTAACACCTTAACAATCCAAATGGATACCTCCAACTAGTGCCATCCATAAATCTGGGCATGTGAGAATCTTTTCTTGAGTCCTGCAGCCTTGGGCCTTAGGAGGCCCCACACTTTGCAACACCTTTCTTAGAAAATTCTGAGACCACCTCTGCTGTCTGGGAAAGGCTGTGCCTGGCTGTGCCATCTGCACAAGGCATCCCTAGCCAAGACCTGGACCTGGAGTCCAATCACTGTAAGCATTAAAATTTTCTTGGTTCTGGTTCAGACACTGGGACCAGCCAGGGAGGCAATGCTATCTGGGCAGGGTGCCTGATTCAACCAAACCAAACCATGTGGGCCTGGGGGCCTGTTTCTCCCCTTCGAGGTTTTGCCTGACACTCTACCCTATGTGTGCAACTTGACCAGATGCCCCAGAGAATCTGGCGACTTTCATCTGTGGGGTCATTCTGGGCCAGTTGCCTGACCCTGGTTCCAAGAGGGTTGTCTGACAAGCGGATCACTCACTCCCACTGGCTGGAATGGTATTGTATGAAATTGGATCATTAGATTGTTGTCCCATTGATTTGGGGTGACTCAAACTGTTTATACAAAAAGGAGGCTGGCAAAAAATATTTAACTGGGCCCCTCACGCCTGGGAGTTATCCTATCCCTACACTTCCAAGTCCTCAAAGACATTGTAGAAGTGAGTATGCCTGAGTGATAGCCCAGAAAACTCCATGAAGGGCAAGGAAGCTGGCTTGCACATGCGTAACCACTGACAAGGTGATCACTTATTATGAAAGTAGTCTACTGAATCCTGGAACTAACTCAAGCTATACAAGCCTGAGCACCTCAGGGCATGAGAAAAGTGGAGTTAACTATGCTCTTTCTACATGGTTTCTTAATGGACCTCCTGAAGAATGAGTGACCTCTAGCTTCCAGTGGTTCTCATCTGGGCACTCTTGCCATTTTGAGAAACACAAGCTACAGGATTCTCTACTTATTGAAGGATGTTTAGAATCCTTGTCCCTGTCCAATATATACTAGTTGTACCTTGCAGTCATTATAATATCCCCCCAAAATGCACCCTCCCTCAACATATACAAATATTTACATTCTCCCTGGAGAATGATACTATCTCCCATTAAAATCACTTGTATATAGCACTGTCCCACATTAATATAATGCAGGCCACAAATATCAGCCACATATGTAGATTTTCTAGTAGCTCGGAAAAGTAAGGAAAGTAAAAAGGGACAGGTGGGATTAATTTTAATAATATATTTTATTCAATCCAATATATGAATAATATTGTCATTTCAACAGATAATATAATATTAGTAAACATTATTGATATTGTATAATTATTAATTATATAATTAATAATAAGGTATTACATATCTTACTTTTTGTCCTAAATTTTCAAAATCTGGTGTGCACTCCACACTTACAGCACATACATTAGACACGCCATATTTCAAATGCTTAATAGTCACATGTAGCTGGTGAATAAAACATTGGTATAGGCAAGTAGATATTCCTGAAGTCCACACAGCCATATTAGCCCACTAACACCTGGATAAGAATGAGAAAAACTCTCACCAGATTTGTATAATCATCATACAGTAAAAGATAGAGTCCATAAGCTGGTTTGGCTGAGGTCACCCTTGCCAGTTAGTTGGTCAGGGATGTGAAAAAATGAATCTGAGATAAATGAGGCAGGTGAGTCAATTCTATGAAAAAGTGTCCTCCCTCAGAAATGTTTTAATTAGACAAAAAAATGCACTTGCTGGGACTTTTGCTCCTGTTTAAGGGTTCTGTCCTACATGCGGTGCTTAAAAATAATTTTGCCTACTATGGCCTTAAATGCCATTTTATATTTGGAATTTTCAAACAGGATGTGTTTCTAATTATCCATTAAACACTTTGAGAACAAAAGATTAGATTTTTAAAGCACTCAAAGTATTTCTAAGCTCTTCATGCTTTTTAATTTTATTTATGAGAAAAAATTCAAATTTCTAGTTTTATTTAACTCACAAAATACTCCTAGAGTTTTCTTTATTTTTATTCCAAGCTTTCATTACTTAAAAATGTTCTTTTTCTATTAAAATGGTGGGTTCTTGAAAAAATTTAAAGCATAATTTAAATGATCTTCTTTTATTGCTCAGAAGAATAAAAAGCCTGATTCATCCAACCACCTGGTGGTTGAAAATGTTTCACTGTTTATTGAATAGGTCTGCCTCATCAATCTCTATGTCCCCATATGGACTGTTCAAAGAATTTTCTGACTTTTAAGGAATCATTCATTTCCATTTTTAAGAGAACATTTTTATTGTTAATTGCGGATCATGAATAATTATTTATGGATATACAGAAATGCAAATATACAGATAAGAGAAATAAAATGAAAATATTCAGTGTACATAATGGAAAAATTCCACATTTAAAAATGTTTCCCAAGAGTACTTAAGTTGGACAGTGGATGGCTTTCCTAATAATATAAACAATGAAAATATTTCATAATAAAAATTATCTAAGTACCTAATAAACATGTACCTAATGAATAAAATACATTTTTATCCTCAAACTCCACACCCCTGAATTAGATCTAGATAGCAATCAACGTGTTTCAATGAAAAGGGTCCTTCTTATAATTATGCAGTTCAGTAATAGGATTTTCAGCTATGAGATTAATTTATTTGTATCAATGTTCCAGAGTCAGTAGTGTACAGTGGTATAAATTATTTGTTAAAACAAATTATGAAAAATAGTAACCCTAAACTTTGTCTCTAGTGCTTTGGTAAGATATTTTATTCTGCTAAAAAGAAACCATACCCTGGTCACATCCTGCAGACGTTAAGAAAATGTCTGCTGCTATGGGAGAGGAGTGAAAGTTGTCTTTAACAGCCTTCCTGATAAACGTGAAGTTTTTTGTGTGGTCTTTGTAAAAGTTTGTATTATCTTAAATCTTCTATCTAATCTTGAACTTAACAGGGGTTTAAATTCTTTTCATTTTGTGTATATATATATATATATATACATATAGATAGATAGATTGACTTTATGTTTTTTACATATAGTAAATACCAAAGAGAACGCAGAACACAGGATTAAGTCCTTATTTTCAATTACAATAGGTAATTTATGAGTTAATTATGTGTTTAGGAATCCTGAATGAAATAATTACATTGTGAAATATGTTTGATATACATCATACTTTTCCAAGTTTATATAAGATATACATATTCTATATTCTAAAACCAATAATACTGACACTAAAGCAAGTAATTTGTGACTTGTTGCATCGAAAGTATTTTAATCAGTGTTTTTGTTTGTTTGTTTGTTTGAGACAGAGTCTTGCTTTGTTGCCCAGGCTAGAGTGAGTGCTGTGGCATCAGCCTAGCTCACAGCAACCTCACTCAAACTCTTGGGCTCAAGCAATCCTGCTGCCTCAGCCTCCTGAGTAGCTGGGACTATAGGCATGTGCCACCATGCCTGGCTAATTTTTTCCTACATATATATTAGTTGGCCAATTAATTTCTTTCTATTTTATAGTAAAGACGGGGGTCTCACTCTTGCTCAGGCTGGTTTCGAACTCCTGACCTTCAGCAATCTGCCCGCCTCGTCCTCCCAGAATGCTAGGATTACAGGCGTGAGCCACTGCTCCCGGCCTTAATCAGTGCTTTTTAAAGAAAGATGTAGAGGTTTACAGTGAAGAAACAGGAGTCAGCCAGTTAAGCAGAACAAGGTTCCAGGAGCAGTATGCAAAGAGGTCTTAGAAGTCAGCAATGCTCTCAACTTGGAATAGAAAACATACACCTGAGTTTCTACTCATTAGGCTATAATTTATCCCATACATGAGATAATGCAAATTGTTCAAGTGTTGAACACATAAATCTCACATACCACATAGATATTCACTCTCATTTTCCATAAAAAAAAAAAAAGTAGGAAAATGGAATTTGAGGCTTGGGAACTACATATTCAAGTGTTTTCCAATGTACAGGCCACATGTTGTATTATGTTCCTAAAGTCCACTAGATACAACTAAATGGTATCCCAATGGGTACTTTTTCCTTTTTGTTTTCTCAGTTTATGTTTATGTATGTACCCATGCAATTTTAGGCATGTTGGGTTACAAATATAAGGACATTAAGAGAAAATTTGATACTAAACAGTCGCTCACAATTTTAAGAAGCTCCTTTCAGAATTGTCATATGCAACATAATCTGAATAGTTACTTCTTCACAGGAGGCTTTATGGAGACTGAAGCTGCAGCTCAAGAGTCCCTGGGATTGGGCAAACTCGGAACTCAAGCTGAAAAGGACAGAAGACTAAAGAAAAAGTAGGTTTGGAGATTTTTTTCCCGTTCTATTCTAATATGCATTTAGTCTTTATCATTGTTGTAGGGAATTAAAAAGAGAGCAGTTGGAAACAAAACAATTATGCTGAAGCCAGTATTTTCCTGGTATTACCTAAAGCAAGGTAGTGTTCATGTTTCCTAGTTTTAATGAGTTCGAAAGTATATAAAAATATTTAGCCTGTAGTGGAAATAAGAAGTTTCTTCTAACTGATCTAAGCATTTACTTAAAATCTCAAGTATATTTAAAATACTTAAATGTAGCCTTAAAAAATGTAATCCCCTATTTGATGTTAAAATCAGTACTGAATTGGAATGATAAAATGAGAGAGGATACCATCTCACCTTGTGTTTCCTCTCATGACAATTATAAGTATCTACTCTTTCAAATGGAGTAAAAGAGAAACATTTCCCTGACTGATTGAATATAAGCTTATTTTAGACTCCCAACAGATTGTTTTGCATCTGTCAGGAAAATGATAGTGTATCCTTTCATTCACATATAATACAGAACATTTAAATGACTTGCAAAATTGGCAAATTTTGAATCTAAGCAGCTGTTGGAAAGCAAGTAGGTACATAAATAACATATTTTAAAAATACATGGTAACATTTTCATTGACAAAATAGCACCTTTAGAACATGTTCTTCAAAAGCAAAATACTTTTTTGAGAATTTATTGGTTGGTTATTCCTTTTCTTCCCTCTCAAATTACATTATGTTTATGAGTATTCACATTTTCCTTCTTTTCTATGAAAGAATATTCATTGTTCTAATCATCATTTTGTAACAGATATACTCTTGCAGTGATAGTACACAGGCTAATCAATTTACTTCGTATTTGCCTTCTCACTTGCTTTACAGATGTTTACTAATAATGAAATATGTAAATTTTGTTGCAGAACAGCTCACTAACCTAATTGTTCATTAGTTTGCTAGTTATTAAAATTAGGTATATACCCAAATTCAGTAGAAATACTGCCCAGAAAAATAACCTGGAGAATATTATTATCTTAAATATAATTAAATTCTCAGTCATATTCAGTAACAAATATTTTTTCTTTAGTTACTGATCACTCAAAAATATGTTCAAATATTATCAGAATCTATTTGAAATATCTTAATTTTGTTTGTCTCTACCAAGGTATTCAGTGTTCAAATTTGTGACTATTGAAAAAACATTCTTCTAAAAACATTCTCCTTTGATACATTGTCTAAAAATTCGTTTTGTCTATTTCAACTGTAAAGAAATATGAACCCAACCTGGCTAATGGACATAGTTTATTTCCCTTAAAACTTAATTCTCATTTCTCCTACAAAAAATGGCAATCTGACCAGCTTTTGCAATTGTATATAAGGCTGGTCAGGCAGAACACCACATAGTTCATTAAGTTGTTTGTGGGACCAAGTTAAATATACTTAACAGCTACTAAATTTAAACATTCCAATTATAAAATGATTTAAAATAATATATTTAAAGATAAGCTATTAACTTTATACACTGTTGGATTGACTTGATAATAATTTAAAGAATTATTTCTCAACTTCTAAGTACCCTCACAGTGAAAAACAGATTTTAATTCTGTACTTAGTTTGACATCTTACCATACTTGACTTTGTGTTTTATTTTGCAATGTTTTGGCAAGATATAATTGTATAATGTATTAAATGGAATCTTTTATTTAATATTAAGAAGAATATTAAGAATACCCTATAAGGTAATAATGACTAACATTTCTCAAGAAAATTATTTCCTGGAGAATAATATTATTTGAGTTTAAATGGATCCAACAAGACAAGTCAGAGTTAATTAATGAAAGTACAAAAGTGTTTCTCATATTATTAGTTATCCCACCGCAAGAACCCTTTGAGCATAAATATGCAAACAGTGTTCATGACACTTTTATGAATAATTACTAACATTTTTTCAGTATTTGCATGACAATCTCACCAGAGTGTCTCCATGCAATGAGTTTTATTAGATAGACAAGATAAATTACTTTTAAATTGCATGATTTCACAATTTATTTTTATCAAATTTTATGTTACTGCTAATTATCTTTAAACATTGTCAGCTTGTTCTTGAATTTTCTCAAGTGTTTTAAAATTTCTTTTAAACAATACCAATTTTCTTTTTTAAAAAGACACCATATACTCTTTAGTGCACTTCAATGAATTATACTCTTCTGTGTTCAAATTTCATCTTTACCAGTCTTCTTTTCAATATTAAAAAAAAGTTTTAAGTACATTTTATTTAAAAAACCAAAAATGGAACAGCCTCTTTAAAAATATTGAATACTATATGTTATACATGCAAAGTTGTAATCATTGTGATTTACTATTGGTTGTTTCTACATTCTATCCACTGACCTAGCAACATGATATTTCCAGGACATAGTATTTAACTTAGACTTATGTTCACCATCCCAAAGTGCATAGCAGAGATTTATTAGTCTCTGCGGGAATAAGCAGAGCTAGAGGAAATCTTATTTTCAATTTTGCTAGTATAGCAGCAATTTAGAATTGACAGTCTATGACTTTAAATTTAATTGGGAGAAATCTCTAGAGAAGTTAATTATGGCACATTTTTAAAAAGCCAGATGGGGGAGAATTTTCAGAGAGCTGCATTTGAGAAATTCCAAATTCTTGCAAAGTTCAGAAATTTGTAATGTTGGCAGTCCCAAACAAAGGTCTAAACTGAGGTATATTATCATCCAACAAACTTAACATTTATAGGTTGGAACAGCTCATAGGATCTGTGTCCCTACCTTAATTCTACTTTTTTCTGCTTCTTGGTGCAGTCATTTGTTTTGCTTATATTTCTAACTATTGTTCCATGAGGAGAAATAAAAAAATCAACAATAGTGGATCTGCTAAAGCACTCACTAGTCAAGAAAATCTTGCCCATCTTTACATTGGGGGACATTAACACACAGGAGCTATTCTTTCATCAGAACCACATCTAACATAGGCCTAACGTCAATCTGTTATTGTTCTACCTGGTTGCCTTTACTATGCCTCATCTTTGCTTTACTTTCCTTTAAAGCATCAATTCCATATATTTCTCTAGCACGTTTATATAGAGTACAGTTAATACCTCAAGTAATTGTGTTAAACTAAAGCTCACCTACTAATTCTGTGAATACTTCACATTAATTTCCTTGCTCTTCCTCTTTAAAATTTAACCAGTTTTTCTGTACCATCCTGGCATAGCTCTCCTAATCTTTAAAAGTTGAATCACGTATTCTCAAACTAAAGTTTCCATGTCATTATTGTATTTCTTCATAGTTTTCTCAATCTGGGCTCCCTCTGGGGGTGCCATGACTTCCTGAGGTTTTATTCATCATCATCATCTGTTTGATTTCACTGGACTCCAGGCACCTTTTCTTATTTAACAAAATAAACATCTTCCCCTTTTCTAATACTCACATTAAGAGCAACTAGATCTGAGAATTTCACCTCTTTTCTTGCATATCTGCCACACTTATCTTTAAAAACATATTTCCCATTCTTAGCCTTCCAGCCTATGTTTTAAACTAAGACCTAAAAGCTACTTGCCCAGGATGGCCAGTTAAAAGCAACCTCACAAATATACGATTTAAAAAACCCTGCATGGAATAACAGAAGTTACTGCAAGACCAAAATCCTACATGGGCTGGACCAACAAAAACTTCATTTTCAAATGAGGTTCAACTCCCCAAATTTTACTTAGAGTCTATATTTGATTATTTGAGTCCCAATAAATAGAACCTCTCTGCTCTCTTCCTTGCCTAAGTTCAGACTTTATTTGTTTACAAAGGAGTCAGACAATTAGAAATCCAAATGTTATCCTTAATGCCAAGAAAGCTAGTAAAACATGGCTTAAGTGTATGAGGGGGACCTGGAACCTGCAAATAGTTAAGTTTACCTGCCACAGGAAGAGTTAGATAGTCACAGACTTTCAAGATGTGTAGGTATAAGCCCCACATCACCTGAAAAATAGCATTTACAACATTATAATTTGATGTAATACCGTGTTTCCCCGAAAATAAGACAGGATCTTATATTTATTTTTCCTTAAGAAGACACCCTAGCGCTTATTTTCAGGGGATGTGTTATTTTTTAAGTATGGTACAACAATCTACATTTATTCAAATATAGTTAAGTCGTCTTCTGGAACATTATCATAACTCTCCAAACCCTGAATTCCATCCTGAATTTCTTGCGACTCTATTTCCTTTAGAACCATTGGCCCCAAACACTCATGTTGAGCAATAGAGCTCTCATTAAATGAGCAGGGCTGGTTTATTTACCAGAGATCCAGTGAGCTCTGGGTCCAATCTGCACAGTGGAACAGAAATGATCTCTAGTAAGAGATCATTTAGTAGGAGATCATTATCTAGTAGGAGACTGCTTGCTGAAGCTTTCCCCCTATCCCCTGTTGTTTGTGGGGGGTAAGAGAAGCCCACAGTGCTGAGTAAAATGGCAGCCACAGCTTTCCTTCTTCCCCCTGGGAACACACAATACCTAAAGTGGAGCGTCCTGCTCCTCACTTCACTGAGGAGAATTTCCCCTCAAAGCCTCAGCTTGCAGCATGCACAGGATGGCGGGGACCTGACAGGGGAGCTGACCTTGTTGGTGGGGCTGCCTGCACCTTTCCGGTCACCTCTAGGATAGTAGCTGTCACGATGGGGCAGATGAGAAGGGCTTGCTCATTTTCTTTACTGTTCAGTGACGAAATGCATGTGTTGTGCAGATATGCTGCGTAGCCATGCACATCACTGGGTCTTATTTTCAGGGTAGGGCTTATATTGTGCAAATGCTTAGAAATCCTGCTAGGGCTTATTTTATGGGTAGGTCTTATTTTCAGTGAAACACAGTATGTTACTGTACAGTTAAGAACTATGAACTCACAAGAAAAGAAATAAAATTTTATATCATTAAAATTCTCACCTGAAGAAGAGTGTTTGACATATCAAGGTTACTAGTATTTTTATTAATATCTC